TTAACAGTCCACATCCTCCTCTACAAAGGCCAGCAGTGAGCTGAGAGCTCACGCTGACTCCAGCTGCTGAGGATTAAAGAAGTATATTCCAGTCTATCATTTTATTGCTTGTTGATTGTAAAGTGATGGTTATGAAGGGGAGGAAAAGTTCTCTTACAAGCTGCTGAGTCTTTAGTCAGCTTTTACAGATAGGCAGGAAAGGATCTTAGACTTGTAATGGTGCATCCAGGGAAATATGTGCCCATTGTGTAATTGTCAAAGAAAGGCAACTTGAATGCTAGACGTTATTAGGAAAAGACTGGGGAGAAGTGGCAGAAAAGCCACCTCTGTGCCACAGCATAAAATCAGCTTGCTGATTCTCCCTGTGCAATGGCTGAGCGGCTGCTGAGTCTGTAGGTGTCTGATGCAGCATTAGATCTTGAACGTGACATTTTCCTTTCTCTATTTTATTTTAGTCCCCTTGTAATTCTTTCATGTAATCTATGTACATTTATAGGGCTTTTTGCAGAGGACTGTAGAGATTTTCCATTTATGTAATACTCCTACATATATCAGGCCATTTGTTCTAGTAAACTCTCCAAGACAGGGACTTCTTCCAAGTCTTACATTTAACAAGATGCCTCAGAGAATTACTGCACTTAATTTAGTTGTATTTATATTCACATTAATAAGCTGTGTATGTTCTTTAATGCATTGCACTTAAATTTTTCCAGAAATGAAAATTTATTGTCAAAAAAAAATTTGAAAAAATTTATCCTCTCTGGAGAGCAATTTGATAGTTCTTCTTGTAAAAATGTTTAGCAAATGCAACATTGGACTTCAGTGTTAAAGATAAAAGAAAAAAAATAAATAAAACCTAGCATGTTAAAATACAAATACACAAATAAATTTCTGTTTGAAAAACACCAGACCTGAATTATGGTGAGTATTTTCCCAAAGAGGAAACAAAAGTAATTTTTAATACCTTCTAGGCTTTTCCTCATGGCTGAGTGGTCTTTTCAAAAGTGGGAGAAGATTGTGTTATATCTGATTCTCACCCAGAATTCTCACCATTTGCATGGCACACCAATACATAGCTAGAGTCCCTACAGGGCATAATTCACTATTTTCTTCTCCCTAGTTTTGGATTCTGCTTTGAAGTTTGTCTTGAGGACAGAGAGAAAAATGCTTATGTGGAAAAAGTGTGACATATTGGAGGGTATAAATAGCTATCCTTTTTCTAAGAAGTGTTACACAGCTCATGAGTTACCGTGATTCCCAGCTTTTATGTCCTACCTTGGTGGGGAGGCCTGGAGAGAGATGTTTTCTGTTTCTTTTCAAGTGTATGTTGGAAAGGTGCTGGCTGTACGTTCCATGGGTTGCCATATGTACACATGGCCTTTATCTTTATTAAAACACCAAACAGAATGTGGTAAGAAAAGTGGCCCAGGAAGGGATGGCTTATGGGCAGAGCCTCCTGTAAAGCCAGATCTTGTGCTCCGTGTGGACAGAGAGCAGCACTGTGATGCCCAATGGCCAGACAGCTTCTTGTTGAGCATTGGCAAAACCTAATTTTTCACAAGAAGGAAGTGATTTATAATTGAATGGCAGAAGGCCTCAAGGTAAACTTGTCAAATATGGTTGGTGCAGTATGCCTGACCTGATGCTGAGGAAAGACCTCATAAAGCCCCCTAAACCATTAAGTAAATGTTCTGTTCAGTGTCTTGTAGCTGCAATTGAATGGCTTTCTTTTGACTTAGACAACCCATAGATGTGTCTGCTTGTAGCTCATCACTGAGTTTGTATGGATCAAGAAATCTTCATCCTTTAAAAAGATTCACCTGTCCTCTTCCTTTAAATGCTTTTTCCTCAGAATTTTGCATTTCACCTACTGAAATGTCACACACAGTGTCTTCTGGCTTGTTTTTCCTAATAAAAGATCACCTGTTAAAATCCACGAAACCTCTCCTAGCTGTCAGAACTTAAGACTTAATTAAGCCTCTCTGGGACTATTGATATGAATATAGGATTCTGCCACCTCTCCTCCCCCCAAATATTGTTAGTGCTTCAGTTTGCTGCCATTTTGGGTTTATTTCTTTCTGTGTGGAATGTGTAAAATAAAAACAAATTGGTGACTTGTAGGAGTAATTTCACCTGGTGAGGAATTTGACAAGCAGGGGAGGAGTTGTGTGAGTAGCTCCTGAAAAACGTGTGAAAATCTTTCACTGAGAATGTTACCTTCTAAGTATGGGCACTGCTTATCTCCTGCTGTTTGTCTCCTGATATTCCTTAATTTGATTATTTGCAAATGCTTCAATTTTCTGGCTGACATTTTAGGAAACTTAATTATTTTCTGTGTTGTCTTCTTCTGTATGCATTCAAACAATTAAAACCTTTATGCACCTTCCTGTTTTGCTCCTCATCTGAAACATTAATTCACTGTTTGGTTTTAGTGATTCTCTGAAGTTGCTGACCTAGTATGCTTTTCTGTGTCATGAGATTGTTTCCTTATCTGAACCATATGTTACTGTCTTTATGCAGGACCATGTTTTCCTGGATTTGTCAGTGCAAAGGAAAATTGTGGTACTGACTGACTTGGGTTGTCTAAATAAGATCACCTCTCAAGGTCCATGGAAGGAGCATCTTTTCCATGAGCTGGTTGCCTGAATTCCCTGAGGTGTTTGGGTGGGGCTCAGTTGACTTGTGCATTGAGTTTGTGTGCACTTAAATCTAACAGCCACTTAGAGAGGGTGGTCTTGCAGACTTCAGTTGCCTGCTGCACCTTGCAGATCAGAAAATTCCTGTGATCAGTCTGCACCACCATGCTCTCTGCTTTTGTAGCCAGTCTGCTTCTGAATGTGTCATTTCACTGAATTTCATTAGTCACTGCTGATTCCTCTTTGGCTAGCTCTCACCTCTTTATGAAATTTTTGATATCTGCCTGTTTATATTTGAAGCTTCATACTCTGCTTTTCATGGGTCAGAGCCATGAGAACCTTTGTCATGATGCTTCTGCTTTCAGAGGGCATTTCCCCTCACCTAGCCAGGTCAGATAAACTTTGGGCACCACTCCAAGACAGTGACAAGGTCACCTGAACATTGAGGTAGCTGAGGCAGATGTCTTCAGGGTATCAGTGACAAATTTCAGACTATAGGTGGTAATGGGCACCTTTACCCTTTTGACCCTTTTCTTCTTTGTCCCTTTTCTCCTGAAGCTTCTACAGACCTGCTCTCACCACAAGCAGGTGGCCTTCCTAAGAGCATCAGTAGAAGTACTGCTGACACCTAGGGAAGGAGCAAGTTTAATTATATTGTCATTATATTACCACTATGTTTAGAAAACATATATCAGTGATGAGGATTCACCAGTTCTCTGTGTGGACTCATACCTGTTCTCTGGAGCAGGAGATTCATCTTTCCTCTGCCTGGATAATGACTTTGCTCTCTTTGGTCTCCTTTGCACTGGTAGGCTGTGTGCTCCTCACTATGGAGATCACCTTCAAATCCATTAAGCAACTGTATTTGCAGCTGCAAGCATCCATTTCATTATCCTTTCTTTGACTGTTTCCTTCCCTGATCTGCCCTATTTGGTTGGAAACAGCCATAAACCTTAGAGATGCACATAATGCTTCATAGCACCCAGCAGAAGATTTGGTTCTGCTCCTTCCCACTTTATTTCATCAGTGCAATAATCATTCTGGGTTCAACCATGGGTAATAAATAACACGTTTGAACACAGTAGTGACTTGCAGTGCTTCTTTTTCTGACTTGCAGATTAATGAGAAAAAAAGTGCTTACTGCTCGTATTAAGATGGATGCCAGGAGGAGAGGTGTCATCCTTTTTGTGCTACCAGAAGGAAAACTTGCTTTGTGTGGGCTAGGCAATAAGATGTTTAGAGAAGTGGGCCAGGATTTTAATGCTTCAATTGGCCTGGAAGGAGAAGTGTGCAATCAAAGCTCAATGAGCTGGAGAAAGGGGAGGAGAGGAAATTGACTGCTTTTGGTGGCAATAGTGCATACAGTCAGTGGCAACAGTGGACTGCGGGTGGGAAGTTTGAAGCACTTGGGGTATTGTCAGATACTTGGGAAACTTAGGAAGTGGTACGCTGTGCTTAGGAGAAGCAGGGAGAGGAAAACCTGTATACAGCAACAGTTGCCGCTGGCAAGTGATCTGCTCTGGCACTGGGCGGGGTCTGAGCTTCCACTCAAGAGGTCGGGAGCTGAGCATCTGCACGGGAGCTGAGCATCTGCACGGGGCTTCATGCTTGAACTGGTGGAGAGTAATTCTGAAAGAAAGAGGACTCTAAATCCACAGCTGCATGGCTTATTAGTTCCTAATTAATCAGAGGTGGTGGGAATGAAATAAAGAATCCCTTGTTTTCTTCACACAGCTTAATGTAATGCAAATTCATGGTAAGAAGCTGTGAAAAATATCTCCTCCATGGCAAGTGGAACTGTCATGCTTCAAAGGGTGCTTTGTGGAGCTTGGATGGAATTATAAACCTGTAATAAAAGAAATAGTTAGTTACTCTTGACTTTCAAAGCTACCTGTAATTGGCAACCTTCATCCATTACACTCAGTTTGTAACAATACTTTGTGTTCTCACATTTATGTCACGTGCACTAGCTTGTAGAATAATTCACTTGCAAACATGTCCTTCTGCTTTGGCTACATTGAAGAGCTGTTTTGGACTGTTTAAAACTTTTTTTTTAAATTTAAGAACTCATTTTGATGCTCATGGAGAGAGACAGTGTGGGAGGACTTGACTTGTGTTAGGCTTGTACTGTTCTGGGATAAGCTATCCTTCCTTGCCAGCATCTTAGCAGCAAAACAACTTGGAGTTCATGCATTGCTCAAGGTGTGACAGTTGTGTACATTCTCAAACCTAGAGGATAGCAAATGTGTTTAAAAATGTGTATTCCTAATAGTATTTGACTCCATTTTTGGTGTTGTTTGATTGTCTTTCTTAAAGTCCCATGCTTATGAAGAGTTGCTCATGGTTCTTATTTTATTTCCACAGTTTGCAACTTCATGTCTCACGAAAAGTGCCTCAAGAATGTCAAGATACCATGCTCCTGTATTGCTCCCAGCCTTGTAAGGGTGAGTAAAGAGACACTGGCTTGTCTCCTTCTTGGGGTAGTACCACACATTTATCACTAATTAACATAATGCCATAGTAGCAGTGGGTTTTTTCATATCATAATGCAAAAATTGTATTAGTCATCACAGAAGCTTTTATAGCTGCTCACAGGCAAAACTACACTTCCTTTGAGAAGTCTGCTATGAGCAACTGTAGATACTCTGTCTTTGAAGACCAGTCATTTGCATTCTTTAAATGTTACTAGATGCTCTTACTGCCTGTCATTACCTGGAAGTTTCGCAATGAAGTACTTGCTTTCAGATGGCTTGTGACCTTCTCCCACAAGACTTTATGTGTAAGAGATTGATTCAAAGGGTATGAAACATGAATCAACTTTACAGAATATAATAGGATGCGACTAAGGTACTAAGAAGGTAAACTGAAGAGAAAACTAAGTGTGTTATCCACTTGGGAAAGGATGACAGAAGAGGAACAGAAGGGGAGAAGGACATGAGAAATTTACTAGAGAAGGAGTAAAACACTACAAAGACCTTAAGGAGCCACAAGCAAAAGTCGAATGAGACATGGCTGTAAAATCAGTCATGTTCATTACAGACCTTGCTGACTCAAAGCACATTTATGGGAATCCATTGTGTAGACCTGTGAAGGGGGGCTGATTCCCTTCCTTCTGTTGTACAACCAGTTTCTTTTTGTTGTGGAAACCTGTGTAGGGGGTGAGATGTGGAAGTTTGAAAGCAGTATGCAATCTGAGTTACAGGGTTTGGATAAAGAGAAATTATCAATTTGTTTTTCTTCAATATGCTTTATCTAGGTGATAAAGCTGCTAGGCTGTGCCAACGCAAAGCTTTGCTTCTTCTCTTTTTTGCTTTTCCTCTTTCCTTACATACCTTTCATCTTGCGAGGTGTCAAAAAGGTGTCTGATACCTAGAAATTTGCCAGTGAAGCAGCAAGAAAATTGCTGTAAGTCTTAGAACCCATGGTAAAGGGACATGTAGGTAGTGAGAAGTGCTTTTACTGAGAATTAGCGTCTTCTGCTGTTTCAGTATGTTGGCAATCAGGCATTGTAGCAAGAGGAATAGCGAGTCAGATTATATAGGTATCTACAAGGCCTTTAGGGGGATGGCAAAAATCCAACTGGAAAATAGTAATTTAATTCAGAGTGTGGGCGTTGTAAACACTTATGACGGCTTCTTTTCTGGATTTGCTCTAAATTTAATTCATTGTTCAAAATAGTATTTGTTCCTTTGCTTTTATATGGTAAAAATCCTCAATTTAAACTTACTACTGTTCCCATTTGCATCAGTTATAGACGTCAGTGTAATTTTTTTCTATCTTGTCAGTCCCTGTAATCTGTCTGCCCCAAAATTTTTATCTTGTGATTTATCTGTAAACAATAAACACATAATTGTACTGCACAGCGAGGATAGTTATTTGGTGGCGTTGCCAGTGTTTGCAGTTCAGTGTTGCTGTGTTTAGTTCCAAGAGTCCTCTGTGCTTTCTGTCTTGAGCTGTAATGATTTTATTTTGAAAACTCTGGATTGTACTGTTCGTTCTGGACAGTCATGTCCTCCTTGACGTGGTCATCCAAGTTGCATTAATCCTAATCAGCTGTACAAGTGAAGGCTGCCATATGGGAGACGTCGTTTTGCATGCAGGCTCTGTCAAAGCAAATACCAGACTTGGCATTTGTGTAAAAAATATAACAGAGTGAAAAACAAATGACAGCCATTTATACAATTTGTGGAAAGTTTATTTTCTTAATCTCTCCTTTCAGATTATTTATTTATTAAAAGGTCTGACGTAGGAGGGAACACTGGTGGGATTTTTTTTCTGATAGTTCTTTCAGCTATGTCAATATTCAGTGTATTACAGAGATGAGACTTCTTTTTTTTTTTTGCTTGCCTGGATTTCATCTAGAGAAGATGGCAATTGTTAAAGCTCTTCAGAATGTGTGTCATTTGATACTAAGTCAACCCATCAGAGAATAATTTTTCAGCAGATGTTTGGTGGAAACTTTTATTCCTGACAGTAGGGTTTCCTTCTCAGGGTCAAGTAAAGGCCCTCAGAGTCACAAGCATGCCACAACTGCATCCAGCCTCAGATCATTCTTAAGGCTGTCCTATGAATTTTTTTCTCTATTGTAAATCATTGTCACCTGCATTTAGTATTCCAGAGTGGATCCAGGTCATGATGTTTCTAAACAAGCCTTTGTGGATCAATCTTTTGAAAAGTTTGCAGGGCATATGATTTGTTCCAATGGTAAGGTCTCAGCAACTTTTTCAAATGCAAACTCTCTCTTTCCTACATTCCCATAAGTATTTACCTACTTTGCAGTACACATTTTTTAAAAAAGGGGAGAAAGGGAGGACAAAAAATAAGCCACACTCAAACACCAACGCAAAACAAAATAACAGTAAAAACAAAACGTTTTTGGGGATGAAAAGTGAAATTTTGTTTTCCTTGTTAGGTTGGAATTGAAGCTGTATTACAGCTTCTTAGAAGTGTGTGTGTATTTTGTATATAACTGTTCTTGGAAAACTAAATTAAAATGAGACCACATGAAGAATAGTTTAGTGATGCTCAGCATTCGCTATGCTTATTTTTCCTTGTTGATGTGTTGTTCCATTGCTCTAATGGTTTCTAAACATTTCCATTTTAAGAAGGTTTTGAAGTCTACTCACAAGACTTTGTTGTGTGCTGTTATTCTTAAAGCCAGGTTGTCTAGAATGGAAAAATGCTAGTCTAGGTTATCAGCTTCTGAATCTTTGTGTTCTAAAAATAAAACTTTCCTTTCTAAGGAAAGCTGCTGCATTCATGGGCTGGGGTAAGGAATGGGAAGGCTGTGGTGCTTGCAGGGGTCCCTGCTCTTGTAATTGTCTGCTGACCTGAGTTTCTCCCTCTGGATGCTGCGTTCAGCCGTGTGCAGCATGATTATTTGGGTCAGTAAAAACAATCTGAAAGTAGATCTTTCTGGGGAGGCCCATAGCAATGGGATGAGGGGTAATGGTTTTAACCTGAAAGGGGATGCATTCTGACTAGATTTAAGGAAAACATTTTTACAATAAGGGTGGTGAAATACTGTCACATGCTGCTCAGAGAGGTGGTAGATGCCCCATCCCTGGATGTCTTCAAGACCAGGTTGGACAGGGCTCTGAGTAACCTGATCTAGTTAAAGGTGTCCTTGCTCACTGCATGGTGACCTTTAAAGGGTTCTCTTCCAACCCAAGCCGTGATTTTACCTGGGCCCTTGCTGGGTAGCACTGACCACCTTATCTCAAGAAGGTCTCTCTCCAGTTCCCCAGCACTTGACCCATGCTTGTGTTGCTTCAGCAAGGCAATTGCTTGGAGATAGTCACATGGCATAATTTAGAATCCAAATGAGGGTTTAAACTGCTTGCTGGTAATCTTGGCACTGCACCAAGGTTTTCTCCCTTTTCTCCCTGAAGGGGAACCTCAGAGCTTAAGGGAAGGAAGGGCTAGCTCCTCCTAGTTTGCAAACTCAGGAGAGTTTATTATGCTCTCTTCAAACTTGATCTGAACTCCCAGATGAGTTCTGCAGCTGTATCAGTGACTCTTCAGTTTCAGAAGCATTATGGAATGGCGCTGTGTTTGTTTTAATTCTTAATCTTTGTCTTGATAAGAGGACATGGATGTTGATTTCCTTGGTAGCAATAAAAGCAAGGAGTGAGTGATTTTTGCATGTTATTTTTTCTTTACAGTACAAAAAATACTAGGCTAAGCAACTCTTTAATTGCAGTGGAAAGCTTTTACACAAGCTTACTTTTGACTAGAAGTACCATGTTATTCTCGTTTGAAATAGCATGGGGTGCATTATCCATTGCAAAGGGTCCTTGAGACCTTGGAGTGTATAAGGCCAAATGTCATGTCACAGAGATCTGCAGGATGGAAGAAAAATAATCCTGGAAACAGTGGGATAGCATATAGATGTGTGCATCATTCCCTTGCATTAGCCCCAATTAAAATTTTGATAATTAAGTATTTGATTTTGTCTCTCCTGTCCTATTATGTGTTGAGACACCATTTAGCTTTGTGTTCTTAATTTGTTTCAGAGTACCATATAGAACGCATACTTACATTGCCTTTAAACACCAGCCAATAAATCAGGTGATCAGAACAAGAACATCAGTTTGAACACAAGTGAAGAGTAGTTGATAGGCATTGTCCCTAAAATGCCAGAGTAACAGAGGGCATTAGCACACAGTGTATTCAAGTTGCAGAAATATCTTGCTACTAAATAAGAGGTTTTAAACAAATCAAAGTGCTATTTGATTACTGAGTAATAAGGAAGTAATTGAATAGATATCAATAAAGGCAAAAGTTGAATCACAGACTTGTTGGCTTCTCTCAGAGAGGGCATAGTCTAGGTCTGGACAGAACAGTCATGGGGTGGAGTGAGGTGTGTTCACCGTATCTACCTCCCTAGAGCAAAGGTTTACAGTATTGGAGTGAACCTCAGAAACTTTAGCTAGGGAAGTGCTTCTACACTTAAACATCCATACATGTTTTTGTTTCAGAAACACCATTTTAGTTTTTATCAGGAAATTTTTTTGGCCTTATGTTAAGAGCAGTCTTTGAGAATGACGCTGTGTGACTGCCCTTGTGGGTGTCTGATGAGAAGGTTGCTTCCAAGCTGCTTGTGCTTATCCTTAAAGTGCAACAGTGTTTTTGAACTGCAAGCTAGTGATCTTAACTTAAATTCCTTTTACTTAACCCTTGGAGGCTATTGTTGAGAGTTTTAGAATCCTCCTTTCTGTCTACCCTTTCCTTCGAAGCTGTTCAGCCCCACACTACCTTAGGTCCTGCGAGCCTGGTTTCTTAATCTCTCCGGTATTGTTTTACGAAGTCATGCCAAGTGCAAGTCAGCCTGATGTGATGGAGAAGGAGATGCATGGGCAAAATAATATCTGGATGTAGGCCTAGGAAAAGTTTTTGGTAGGTAGTTCCTTTTTGACACTGCCCAAGACAGCAGCTGCCACACTGGCATTTGATATATCTGTATTTTTCTCATTGCTTTTGCACCTGGAAGTCTTTGCCTTGTGATGCAAGATGAAGCTTTCTTCTGCCTGAGCTGGTAGAAAAGAAGTTGCTGCTGGGTGAAAAACAGGCCTTCCTGGAGCTGCATTTCCTCCCCTGCTGCTGCAGCATCCTGAAGGCTGCAGACCAGTAAGACAGCCTGGCCTGACCCTATGCACAGAGGGTCTGGAGGGTAGCTGGGCCACTCTGTAAAAGTGACTCCACCTTAGTGGAAGAGTACTTGAGTTCATTATATACTGTTGGTCACATGCTTGATATCCTGTGGCATTTCAGGATGAGGAACAGTTTAAAAGGCACTATCAAAATAAAGCAATTCTATACTTTGTTTTTCTTCCTAAGTGTGCATTTTAAAAGCAGTTTGTTGAGGTTTGGTTTGGTTTGTTGGGTTTTTTTTTTGTTAATGCAGAACTGCTATGCACTTCCACACATTGCACTGAAGGAGTTAGAATCTTAGGTTTCTGTAGGATCAAAATTTATTACAGGCTGATAGGAAACATTTGCAGATCTGTATTACATTCTCTAATGCTTTGCATTCCTTAACAGATGGCAGGAAATAGAACAGGAACTAGGAGTATCTTGTCCCTGAGTGCAGAGTCATTCTGGAGATCATACTGGAGTGCTACCATTATACTTTCTGTTGATATGCTTCTGATCAATACTGTAAGGCCACTTAGATGTCATTTAATGGTATTACTAGAAGAAATTTTCTGTATTTTTCTGTGGAAATCGATTTTTGTGGTTTTCATAAGGTAATTTAAGTAGATGGATTGGAAAAGCAGTTTTAAACTCTCATGAATTATTAACATTTTCGCTGTAGGCCACCTTATGCTTCTGTACTTTGCTGCTTTGCTGTACTTACGGAGGTGGATATAAACTAGCTAATAACATGTAATGTTCTCTATTCTTTGATGGTGTCTCACTGGCTTTTCTAGTCTGAGTTTCAAATATATATATCAATATGTCAATATATATTTTTTGATATATATATATATATATTGATATATATATATCAATATATACATACAGTACATACATATAGTACAGTCAGACCCTGAATAAGTTTGCCTTCTGTCAAAGTCCTTTCTCACAATTTTTCAGAAAATAAACACTGTTTTCCACATGTTCTTTTTTTTTTTAGCAGAACCTCTCTGTGACAATAATGAACAACCTACATTTCTAAGCTAGACTTAAATAAAATAGCTAGACTCATGGCCAGAAAAAGTCACCTGTGTTTGAAATATGGGTTGTTGAGGGGGTTGGATGCTTGTGCTGGGTGTCCAGAGCAGTTTGTTCACACCCTGGAGCTAAAGGAGGCCTGCCCTTCATCTGAATTCTTCTCTCTTGGGTGGCTGCATGGTGCTTGAGGCTGTGGCAGGGGTAGGGCACTTACAGATGATGCTTGAAACCTGAAGACAGGTTGGGATGTACAGAAAAGCTTGCCTGAAGAAATCCCACCAGGGCTTTTCAGTACTCCTCGCAGTTGCAGTGTCTGGGTCAGGTTGTGCTCACATAGCCACTTCTTGACAACTTTTTGCACTTGAATTCATTGTGCAGGATGAATTTTGTGCAAGTGGCCTTCTGCCAGCAGACTTTTTTTTTCTTGGAGCGGCTAGAGTGAGCTGCAGCTCTGGCACTTTACCTCCACAATAACTGAGCCCAGGTAACTTGTATGTCACTGTACAGAGAGGTTTATTTCTTCCTTCTCTTGAAGAAGTAGCAGGGTGGGCAGGGATTATGAGCCTTAAACTTAATCTGGGCCTTAAACTTATCTTAATAGTTTGATTAAAGCTTCTTAGGCTTTCCAGGATAATTTACCCCCACCAAGGATATATATTCTTTTTGTAAACATACATTATGTGGCTTGAGTATTCTGATTTTTAAAAAAATTATGTAAGCCAGCTATAAACTTTGTCAGAGTTGTAGGGCTGCAGAGAATGAAATTTCAGTTTGGGCTGGTAGGAGTAGGGTATGGACCTGAAAAGAACAGTTTGGCTGTATTTTTTAATCCCCAACTTGTACATCAAGTTAAACCTTGAAGCTTTTGGACGCAATGCTGCTATATATCGTATTGGAGATACTGATATGGAGTCTTTTTTTGTAGGCTGGCTGCCAGCCCAGTTTTGTGGGGAGCATGATATCAAAATGGGCAGTTTCCTGGTCAGTCAGGGACCAAGGATTCCTCACGGTCTGCTGGGGCAGCAAGCTGGTGACTGTGTTTCACTGGTCAGCTGCTGTGCACTATCTTGTTCATGTTTAGTAACACAAACGTATTTCATACCTCTCTTTGTCCTCTTTTATCTCCCAAAGCTTAATTCTGAGGAGCACTGAGCAACCACATGCTTTGCAGTTTGGGACTTACTAATTTTTCTCGATTAAACTTCCAGCATTGTTGTTTTCTCCTTGTGTTGCATCTGGCAAAACTTTATCTCACTACTTTCATTGTTCATGTTTGAATAACAGGATTGTTTGATGTAACTGTTCCCATACTTTCTGAGACAGAAAATTATTGTGGGAATTCGATGCTTATAACTGGAAGCAACTCCTTGGGTCATCAAATTCTGTGTTCACAGTACGTGTCAGATTTGCTGCTAATAGTTCTCAGGAAAGCCTCAATATACAAGGAAAAGAATTCAAATCCTGATGAATAATTGAAGGATGTTTTACCAGTATATCTGAGAGGAAAAGCTGCTATCATGACTACATGTATCTGGAGTCTTTATTTCCAAAGTTTTACCGGGAATGATTCATTTCATTTGGGACCTAAATAATAGTTGGTCAGTTTTTATCAGAAATACAACAACAAGATAAACTTGATGTGTAAAACTTCATTGTAGTAAGAAGGGCATGTGAAATGCATAATACTAAATACCTAAATCCCGGCAAACTTTTGTGGAACTCATTTGGATTCCAGGACTTTAAACATGCAGTTATGTTCTTTCCTTCTAATGTGAATGTCACTTTAGCAGAGCTGTGCATCTTGTAGGAACAGTAGTCTCTAGAAAATGTATGAAGCTTAGGTATGTTTTTTATTCTTTACTTTGCTTCATCTGTTGTTACTTTGGTACTATCACTTCCCATCTTCATCATTAATGAAGAATTAATAATTAATAAAATCAATTAACCAAGAAAAAACCGATTTAAGGTAAGCGAATAGTAAGAAACACATTTGCCAAAACTGTTGGTACAGGCAGCTCTTGTAAGAGAAAATCGTAGTCTGTCATTTTCAACCTACAGTCAAGTGGAAACTCAGTCTGGATGTACTTCAGGAGCTGGATATCATTCAGGCTTTGAAGCTTTGGATAAGGCAAGAAGAGACAAACCAATCCCTTTGGTCAACCAGTGGCCAGGCTATATTTGGAGAGGAAGTGAAAGGCGAATGGAGAGCGCTGAACTGTGGCAGCACTGAGATGTTAAAAGTTGTCTTGTGCATGTCTTTAGGGTATTTTGTTCGCCTGTGCAGTAATTACACATTAATTGTCCTTGATTCAATTAAGAATGCTTAGAAGAACAGCTGAGATTACAGGTATATCGCAAAGGAAGCCTTTGGATTCATATTGTTGTGGATCATCAAGAAGCTAATCGGCTTAAAAATATATACAATACATATTAATTCCCAAGAATTTTTAAAAGTTACATTTAAGTATTTAACATATATTTCTAAGTATAGTTACTTTTTAAAGGATGTTTCATCTGTCTATTTATTCTTGCCCTTAGTTAAGTTTATGTTGTATGTACTGCCCTGTTGTCACAAGATAAAGCAGCTTCTATGAATTTTAACTGACACTTTGGAAGTTGAAATTGATGATGTCTTATGCATTCTTTGCTGGCAGGTTCCAGTTGCACACTGTTTCGGGCCTCCAGGACTTTACAAAAGAAAGTTTTGCGCTGTGTGCAGGAAGTCCTTGGAGTCACTTGCCTTTCGATGTGAAGGTAACTTAAACCCTACTTGTACGGCCATCTGTGTGCCATCCAATAACCTACAGTTTCCTTACACTGCATACCTTGAGTGCTTGAAAAATTTTTGGTTTGTTTATTATCCATTCATTGGTCGTGGGAAGGTGTACTTCAAACTAAGGAATAATAAATCAACCACCTTCCATAAACTGTAAATTTTGTCAAACCTGTACACTCTTTTTGTCTTTCCGCCAATTTACTTTGAGCAAGTCTGTGGTGGTGTGCAATGAATCCCTGCCTGAGATGGGCAAAGAATGAGGAGCTGTTTTGGTGAAAGACGTGTCCTGTTGCAGTAATTTATTTCTGTTTCCAGTGGAAACTTTTGATGCAGAGAATCATCAGGTATGCGTATTTCTAGAAAATAATGTAGAATTTCCTGTGTTACTCGTCTCAGATACCTGTTACTTGTAATGAGGATGAGGTACCTTCAATGGAAAGATATATGAAAATATTGTTTGTCAAAATAGTACTGCTCTCAGTGTTCTGAAATGGATTCTCTGAAAAAACAGTAATTAAAGAAATCACCCAAATACCCAATTTTTTAATTTGAAATACATGTTGGCATGAGTACATGACTGATTTTGATGTAGGACAGCTCTTCAATTCTCCCTTGTCTTAAATGTCTATTAGTTGTTCAGTTGAGTTGTGAGGTTAAATAGAATTTACTGTTTTATAGGACTATCACCTCTGAACTCTTTAAAAAAAAGTCTAATGAACGAAAAATCAATTCTTCAGGGAATTGAGTTGTTTCCAAAATCACTGTTTTGCTAACGATAATGTCTTATTAAATATGATTTTTCTGTGTGTATGTGTAGGGGAAGCAATCCTCTTTGATCACGGCATTTAGACTTAGAATGGGTCAGTATTTCTGTTTCTGCTTTTGTCTGTTGAGTTGCATAATGGAGCCAAACTGTGCGAGTGACTATACTAAGTGACATATTCCCACTCTGACTAGTGGGAATATGTCACTTAGTATAGTCCCCACGTGACCAGGACGGTTTGGTAGGATGTTCTGTGAGCTACAGATAGCACAGGGAATTTTCTGGTGATCTGTCTTAGTAAGACTCAGAACCTGTGTGCCATTAGATAAACATAGAAATTCGCAAATAGCTGTCACTAGTTATACCCTCTTAACTATTGCAAATAGCTTTAGTTTAGTGATCCAATTTAGTTAAAGCTTTCTAAATTTTGCTTTCATATTCTTACTCTATTAATTCTACTGCATTCGCATTGTCTCCGTTTGTTGTGGTTTACCCCAGCCAGCTGCCAAGCACCACACACAGCCACTCACTGCCGGCCCCACCTGTGGGATCAGAGAACTGGAAGACAGTGTAATGTGGAAAGCAAAACCCACACAAACACACAGGCAGAGAAAAATGAAGAAGTCATTCCCAGCTTCCCGTGGGCAGGCAGGTGTTTCTCATCTCCAGGACAGCAGGACCTCCTCACACCTCACAGTGACTTGGGAGGACAAATGCCATCACTCCAAATGTTCCCCATTCCTCCTTCTTGTGCCCAGCTTTAAATACTGAGCAGGATGTCGATGGTCTGGAATGTCCCTTTGGCCAGTTTGGGTCACCTGTCCTGGCTGTGTCTCCTCTCAGCCTCCCACAATTTCCACCCCAGCATGGCAGTACAAAAAGCAGAAAAGGCCTTGAGTGTGTGTAAGCCCTGCTCCAAGAATAACTAAAACATCTCTATAGTATCAACCCTGTGTGCAGCGCTAACCCAAAACACAGCCCCATGCTAGCCACTGTGAAGAAAATTAACTCTGCCCCAGCCAAATCCAGCATGTAAATGCAAAGGGATATTTTCTTCAGATGCTTCTATTTAAGTGTTTGTAAACATGAAGCACATGAAATCATATGTTGTACTTAGGTATTACACATGCACAGTATTTTTTTTATGGGTTGTTGAAGGTTCTCTGTTGAATTGTTTTCCTCACATGGATTTTACAGTTTTACTATTTTGTGTGGTGTGACTTGTTTGGTGCCCTTTTTCTGAACACCAGTAAGTCTACCATTTGTTTCTCTGCAAATTTTTTTAAATGTTTCTTTAAAAGGGCAGCCGAAGTTCATAAAAGGCACAAGAGTCTTCCTTTATTCTTCAAAAATGCTTGTGGAATTTGTTTTAGAGGTTTAGTGTTTTAAGCTATCGAACTTTTCAATTCAGATGGAGATATTGAACTTTCTTCCTTTTTTTTGTTTATCTCTAATGACTTAGCTTAATACTGCAAAACCTAGTCTTGTTTATGATGTTCTGATACTAAAATTAAGAACTTTTCCTAGACTCTGCCATAATTAACATAAAAACAAGTGTTAAGATGGAGTTGCCTTCTCTAAACAAATTGTTGACATCATTAAATGTACTTGTAAAATAATCACTTTTTTCAAGTTATTTTAATCACTTGATTTACACTGTTTGTATATTAAAATAGAATAAACTTTCTTGAAAGGAAGTAAAAGGTTTCACCCGCATAAATCTTGTGGATGCACAGTAGGGGACCTGTTCTCAGAAATGAGCATGCATGTGTATCAATCCATATGAAAATAAATATATACATGCCATTGGTAAAAATGACAATAGATTGACTTCAAATTCTGGTGACAGTTACTGATTGCTTTGGATGGCTATTTTTGCTACCAGATTTCAGTGGTGTCAGTTGAACCTGGACTCATGATGGTGAGAGTTGCTGTTCCTTTTATTTCCAGGAAGAAGGGATGGAAAGGAAAAAATAGAAATTGGAGTAATCCAAACATTTTTTTGGTGCTGAATTCTTTACAAAAGTTCCTTAATAATCATTGAGCAAGAACAGCAGATTTACTGGAGAAGGATGCAGTTAACATTTTAAAGGCTCTTCTCTCAAGTTTATGTATCTGAAATTAATCAGGTTGAGTTTTTTTTTGGCAATCATAAAGAACTTTCATAACTAGCTTGAACAGAAGATTGTCATTCTGTTATGGTTTAAAGAATAATGCTGACTATGGAATGGCTGATAAAGATTAAATTTATTTTTGTAGGACCTCTAATTTAATGCTTACATTCAAAAACATTGTCTTTCCTACACCAGGATAGTCAGCTTAAGGGATTAACTCCCTAGGACACTCCCACCATTTATGCGAACATATTTCTTACCAATTCTGGGCTAAGGTTGGTCCTAGAAGCAGCAGATGTGAATTAAACAAAAGGTAAAACCCCCTCTGTATTCTTACAAAGTATAGCAAAGGGCAGTGCATGCCTGCATTGGCAGAATTCACAATAAAAACCCCAATGCTTTTGTAAATTCCTTGAAGCTGCAACATTGTCTATGGACACTGAACATTAGCAAGAGTATGACTGCAGGCATCTAGTTTGCCTGGTTAGTTGAACTGGCAAAAATGGAAAATATTCCTGCTACATCTATGAAGAGGGTGAAATGTGAGTGGAGGAGGGACTGTGCCACAGCTCAGAGAGAAATTCTTGAGTGCGATGAAGACACTGAGCATGGGGAGCTCTGTGTGTTTATGGTTGACTTAGTCATGAGTCTGCTTCGGTGTGACGGGAGATTGTCTTCTCTGGGGTTAGAACAGTCTTCTCTGCTCTGGAACAGTCCAGAGAGATTTCAAATCGGTATTCTTCTCTATGTAAATTAATAACATTGTTTTCAAGATAATTTTAGATAATGTGCTAATGTGTGCAGTTGCTACCTTCCAATCTTCAGGTTACAGTTCTCATATTTTTGTGATATGCTTGGAGAATTAACTTGTTTGACTGGAACTGAAAGGTATTTGAAAAATTTGATGCTTGTCTTGCTTTCATTTACTTGATGAAAAGTCAGATGCCTTCCCAGAGTATTTACAAAGCAGCTGCAGGAGGATCTTTTTTATCCATCTGTGTCTCTGTAGCCCACAGAGAACCCTCCTAACTCTTGAAATTATGAAGCTAGGTATTAAAATCTATGAGTTATTGTTCTGGGATTTTTTTTTGTAACTCATCCTTTGCTGCATAACTGCAGATTCTGTTCTTTCATATCTGGTATTTCAAGTCAGCTTTTAAATAATGAAGGTATTTTAAAACCAAAACTTGCCTAAACATTTGCAGGGTTCACTCAAACTTCTTCCACCTACAGTGCCTACAATATTTTGGAAGGCAACGTTAGCCTTACTTAGGAGGGTGCTCTGAAAAAGTGATTTCTTTTTTTTTGACAGTGAAATAGTGATTTGCCTTATACATGGTGATTGAATCAAAGTAGCCTTCAGGCACAGGTATGTTGGAGTAGGCAGCAGTTCCTGTGAAACTACGAGCCATAGCCAACCAGTTGTACGCGTTTAACTTGCTGTAATTGGAGGAAATACGACAAATGCTGCTGATGAGCAAAATTAGCTCAGCCTTTCCTTTATATTTGCTGCATCTTTTCAACACAGAGGAAGTGGAGGAACGCACAAAACAATGCTAGTGAACTTCTTTATTGTGTATCTTTGCTGGATGTAAAGAGCATGAAGAGAAAAGGTATGGTGTGAAAAGCAAACTGGAGGAGTATTGAAGGGAGGGCAGAAGGAGATGCAGAAAAACCCTGGGGTTTCCAGCCTAAAGAAGTTTTTTTGTTTTTGTGCTTTCAGTTTGTGAGCTACATGTGCACACAGACTGTATCCTGTTTGCTTGCAGTGACTGCCGGCAGTGTCACCAGGATGGGCACCTGGACCATGTAAGTGCAGATGCCCCTGCAGGGGAAGGTGGTTGTGCATTTGGTGGACCAGAGAAGGAGCAGTCTTGATCTTTAGTTTCACATGCTGCCAGTTATCAAAGTACTTCAGTTGCTTCTTGGCAGGCAAAGGACATATGTGACTTCGGAATACACTACAAAGAGTGAGATAAACTCAAATGCTGATGTATTCACGATACTTTTGAACTCTTGCTGAAAAATCTGTGAAATGTGTACTACCTCCAAATAAAATTTTAAAAAATCAAGTATCTTATATAAAAGTTTCTTTGCAAAAGCTGGTGTGGATCTCTTTTTTTTTTTTTTTTTTTTTTTTTTTTTTTTTTTTTTTTTTCTGTATGTTGAGCTGTTGGCTGCATTGCATCCCTGGCAAACGTTCTCTTATCCTCATGTTTCCTGCAGCCTGACTGAGGCAAAACTGCCTATTTTCTTATCTTCACAGCACAGTAGATACAGAATACTGACATTGTAGAATGTTTTTTTAATATATTTTTTTTTAGTGGACTGTGAAGGAAAAACACGGTGATAAATTTTTTGATAGTTTGATAAAACTTCTTTTTTTAATGAAATATTAGATTATTAAAGATTCGTATTTATCTTGAGAAAAACTTAATGCCCTAGTATTTGTTGCTATTTCCTCAGAGCTATTTGAATTACTGATTTTAAAGTTGTGTTGAAAATGCATGTGTATCTGATTCATGTAATGCTAAGTTGTGATGTGTTCCCTCAGGATACTTACCACCACCACTGGAGGGAGGGAAACCTTTCTTCAAGTGCTCGTTGCGAATTTTGCAAAAAAACCTGTGGGTCTTCTGAGGTGCTCTCTGGCATGAGATGTGAATGGTGTGGCATCCTGGTATGTTGTGCTGCTGCATATATTTGTGGTAACCACATATATATGGGCACATGCTTATTTGAACACTTGATATAAACGTAATTTATTTGCACACTGTATAAATATGTTTTGTATACAGTTTGTAAATACACTTAATCTATACAGTTATTTATTTGAATATAGGTATTTTTTGATGTGTTAGATGGGAAATTTGATTTTTTTTAATCCTTCTTATAGTAATTTTAATGAACAGCTCTCAAAGTCACTGTGAAGCTTTCTGTAAATCCAATGGAATTTAACACGGCCTAATCATTATAAATCTGTGGTTAGAAGCCTGCAGGCACTTTCTGTGTTAAATCAGAATTTCTTTCAAATCATTAATTCTGCAAGGTTAAAGACTTAGCATTCTAATATGTTTACTGTTATTTCAGTATGAGATGGGTCTTAGCCTGTGTGGTTAGGCTTTTTTTAAGCTGTCAATATCAGTTTCTGTGTTTTTCCATTCACATGACACATGTTTATTTCCCATGCAAGCTGATGGTACCCTTCAATAATGATTCTGGAAACCACAGCTTTTCACACACTGATAAACAGTGTGTAGTGCAGATAACAATTAGTCCATCCACTTAATGCCACCCCGTATTAAAATATGGTGAAAGTGAAAGTAGCACCAGGTGAGGTGGGAACTGGAAGTAAATGTAAGAAATCATTAATTTGCTACTTAAGGCTAGATGAGATACTCCATGTAATAATGAATTAAAATAAAACTCTAGAGGTTATTCAGTATTCCAGGTATCATTTCAATGATTTTTTTTAATATTGTGGGGTTTGTATTTTAATCTGAGACATAATTTCTGAGGTGGGAGGGACTGTATTTGAAAACAGTCTAAGAAATGTAACATGCTGTGTGGCCATACATACAAAGGTATGTGTATTCAATAAAGGCAGAAGATTTGCAACAGTGTAAAGGCAGAAACTATCCAGTCACCTTTTAGAATACAACTGAAAACAGTCTCACCTCAGAATCAGCAAGTGGGTACAGCTATATAAGAGGATACTGCTCTTTCCAAGCTGTTCAATGTAACCTGTGCATCTTTTCCATTTCCCTCAGTAAATATCCACATAGAATCGATTATCAGAGTTTGAGACCAAAACTTTAAACTTCTCCATGTAGCTGTATAAAACCTTTTGGTTTTAATAGAACAGGTTCATGATGCTTGAAAGTTTCTTGACATATTAAGACTCCACATTACTAGTAATACTGGTAACTTTGTTGGGGTTTTTTTTGTGGTTTTTTTTGTTTGTTTGTTTGTTTGTTTTTTGTTTGTTTGTTTGTTTTTATTAAACAAATAAAAACATAGCGTGGCAAATGGGCTATTTATTTAATGAAGGTGATTTACAAAAGGTCTATCTAATCCCTAACCTGAATTATGCAATTTCAGTCATAGTTTGTTATGAATAAATTTACTTTCAATGTGTATCACAAGTTCTAAACTAATACTGTTGTTTATAGGCTCATGCTGCTTGCTGTGTAATTGTCCCACCAGAATGTACCTTTGGAAGATTAAGGAATATGATTCTTCCTCCAAGCTGTGTTCAGTTGTTTTCTCGCAACTTCAGCAAATTGCATTGTTTTCGGATATCGGAAAATTTGCAAACAGAATCAGGTAAAAATTTCAAAGTTGAATGCAACTAGTTGATGAGTGTATTTAACCTAGAGTCATCATTCAATTAAGTATATTATTGCTAATGTTTATTGGCTTTTGTGGCAATACTGTAACTTTTTGCTATTTTTCTGGGAGAAGTTAGAGATTTTTTTAATGGATGCTGTGCAAAATGCAGAAACTTCTGTTTACTGGTGCTGGGCAATTTGCGCACTATCCTTGAAACAAAGAAAGTGCAAACTTAAAATCAAAAAAATTGTGGTGTTAGTGTTATCATTGCTGGAAACACTTCTTATATCATGTGTACAGATACTTTTATTTGTCTCTTGGATTAAGCATCTGTCCTTTTTAAGGTTTCTGTGCTGAAACAATACCATATGTCTAGGCAGGGTAATGTTCTGCTGCCATCTAGAGTGAATGTTTGTTTAACAGCTCTTTAGGAACAAGAATTTTTTTTAAGCCTGATGTGCATGGAAGTATTTTTTTCATTTGTATTTTGATTATTACACACCTGTAAAACCTTTCTTTTGGTGCTTGAATGGAATAGGAAAGGAAATAAAAGGTAGGCAAAATGCAGCTCATGAAAGTAAATTGCTCTTGAGCTTTCTGCTCTGAGCTCAGGTTTGGTTTTGGTGAGGAGAGCTGATGATCAGCTCTCCTCACCTGTGTTCTGTGTGCAGAAGCTGTAGCTGAAGCAGGACTCACTGTGAACTTTGTTTCAGATCTATTGTTAGGTATTTCACAAGTGTCCCAAAGGTTTAAGTGAAGATAAAGTTGATTATTATAACTAAGAGAAGTTAATCACAAACCTTTAAAATAGAGTCTTCTGTTTTAGTTTTCTGGTGTTAAGTTTCACTCTTCAACAGTGCTGTGTTCTTTTAGTATATCAGACTTAACTTTCACTTTTTTTGTTTTTAAATCATCTCTTAATAAAATTGAACATGGAGTGCCTTAAGTGAAAGAATCCAAGCTACGCAATTTTAGCTGCACCTTCTAGTCTCTTCCTTCAATATTTTAAGAGATAGAAGAAAAGGCTTTCTATTTCAGGACTTATGCTACATGCTAAGTGTGTTATTTCATGTTAAGCACAGTCGAGGTTTTCTAAAGTAAGAATGGCTTTTTTGCATTGCTTTAATGGAAGAGTTTGTCTGATCCTTTGAATTGAGAGAATGCAGCCATCAGCTTGGTCAGAAGCAGATACATAGGGATAGAGAAATATTCACTACTTAATTTGGACCATTTCCAGTGCTTTATTATGATATGAAGGGGGGGAAAATCAAATTGAATAAAACTCACCTTGTTTGCAAAGCCAGAATGTATTTTTACAGTCCTTAACCTGCGTGTCACGGAGGTATGGTGTAGCAACACCCTGAAAAATCTAATTTCTAACACAGGTTCTCTTTCCTGTGGCCTATGAGAATTTCTGCCCCTTGGGCTTAGCTCCCCATCATCCAATGGGCAGCAGCCTCCCAGAATGGAGGGGCTGCTGACACCCAGGGGTGCAGTGCCTGAGCCATGGGGATGCTCCCCTTTCCTCCTGCTGCAGATCTGTTGCATACCTGTGACCTTGGCAGCTGCCTCAGCAATTGACATCTTCCTTTTTTTTCACGGTCAGCAAGCCACAGCTGTGGCTCAGCACGAGCCATGGTGAGTAATATTTGTGGTGCAGGGATCCCTGCACTCTGCATAAAGGGTTTTGTTCTGAGTTTCCGTATTTGACAGTGCTTTTTTGCATCTTGGTTTAGCACCTACATGCTGAATGTTCAGGTCCTAGTCTGGTGTCTCCACGTGACTCCTTTTACACCATCCATATCCTGTTGAGCCTTGCTTCAAGACCTGTTGCTGGATGTTTGCCATTCTCAGTCATCTGCTGACAATCAGCTGTCTGCAGGTCACCGCCAAAAGCACTGGATACCATTGCTATGTGCTATTTTTCTTTGCCCAAATTCTTCCTCAAGGGCAGAGCAAAGAATTGTCTTGAACTAGTTCTCACATGATCCTATGTTGAGGAAGCTCAGTGCTCTAGCCTTTTAGTCCTTCTTACTCATGTTCACAGAACAGACCTTCGTTTTCTTACAAAACCCCACTAGCTCCTGGTATGTGCTGAAAGTTACCAAGATGTGGCATGAATCCAGCAGCTCCCTGATAGTCTCTTAGGATGTATTTGATGCTCCTCTGACAATGAAGCAGCTCGGGATGGCTGCCCCAGGAGTTGCTGCTGTTTTGCCAGGAATAAAACATAGACTCTGGGTGGCAGATCTTGCTAAAGATTGTGTGCATGTTAGGGATGTTTCAGGGGAACAAGGAACTCCTTTGCTGAAAGATAATTAGCACTTCTGTGTGATGGCAGGCTCATTAAGAAGTCCTCCTGAGGTGGCATGCACAGAGGGTGCTCCTCTGCTGCCACAGCTGACAAAAGACGTCACTCATAAGATTGTGAAAAGACCAGTCTGAGGTACAAAGAAGTGCTGGCAGTTGCCTGGATGAGTTGCCTGCTGCAGGCACAGCTTGTCCCAAGCTGGTGGTTGGGAAGTGCCAGATGACTTGTCCCATGCAGTAAATGAGCACAGCCATCCATCATCGCTGACCTACTGAGGACCATTTGTCTGAAGCAGCTTTTGCCACGGTGTAAATGCCAAGCTTCATCACCAACATTCAGCAAACATCTCTGTCTTGGAAGAGACTTCTTTTAAACTCTTGAGCTACCAGGAGATGCAGTGGTAGAGCAGTGTGGAGCCCCTTCCTCCAAATGATTCCTATCGTAACAAATTTCAAAGAAGTCATTGAACTTCACTGGAATAGTTCCAAGATGCTGTTGGTGTAGATTTCCCTACTATTCATACTGAAGGAGAAAGTGTAATAAAAGAATTCAGCTTCTTCTCATCTAAATTGAAAAAGAAGATGGTTGAGAGCAATCAGGAGCAGTAATTTCCCACTGTTATATCTGCTACTTCTTTTTTTTTTTAACTTAATTTTATCTGGAATGAAATTGAAGAAGGCATTCAGCTTTCTCTTATTTTGAGGTGTTTCAAGACCATACTGTCTAAATTTCTCTCCAGTTTGAAACTTGATCTGTTTATCTGTCAGCTATAACAGGGGAAATATCTCAACACTCTTTTTATATTTTAAAAGCCACAACTCAAAAGCATTATTGTTGGTCTTTCTTGTATACACTTGAAGCATTACCCAAATATTCAGTGAGTTCCTTGGTGTCAAGTTTAGGACTATTGCCTAGTACCCTTCTTGACATGCTATGATTCTGCTTCTTGGAAGGTTCTCCTGCTTTAGGATTTTGACTTCCCCAGTACCTCTTTCGCTCTGAAGATCTGCATTTACTTGTTTTATTTTATACTTTCTTGTTTTGTGCTGTTTTCTTGCTTTCTCCCTCAGCTGCAAGGCACAGTTTTTACAAAGGTGTTGCTTGGCCTATATCTTTTGGGGGCTTTTCCTGCATCCCAGTTGGCCTATATCTTTTGGGGGCTTTTCCTGCATCCCAGTCAGGACTGACGGGGATTTTCAGTGGGTGTGAGTGTGAATATCGTTATTTGATGAGCACTTGGATTGCACTCTACTGCTACCCTCAGAGAAGGAAAATTGATCATGTTTGGATTTGCACTGGTCTTGTATGGCCCTGAGTGTCAGGAATTAGAACGCAGTGAGGATGTTCTGCACAGAAGCAAATGCAAAATGTTCACAGCATTTATTTCAATCTTTTTTTAATATTTTATGTATGGTTTTACAGGGGTGCATTATCTTCTGACACGTTAGCTCCTAGCTTTAGTGAGAGTGATGAGCCTACTGTCAAAGTCCTCTTCTGGATAACTGCAGTTTCTGTCTGTTTGGGTGTCAGTAACTTTGTTTTTCAGTTGTGTAAATTACTTTTTTAACACCATTATTTGTGACTGGAAGGCTGGATTGATTTGGTAATTTAAAATTTAATGGAAACATCCATACTTCGGTGACAGTCAAACATCATGGTTTCAGAAAAGAATGAAATACAGTAGTTGCAATATTAAAGCCAATAGTATAAGGATCTCATGTATGCCTTCACTGTAGCTACATGCAGATTTGTTTTTGTAATGCTGTTTTAATGCTATGAATTATTATCATAAAATGGGTAGAAAAAGAAAGTGTGCTTTTCTGACTGGTTCCTTTTGTGTTAGCTTGTTTGATGGAAACTGTTCTTAAATGACAAACACCTTCTTCCTTCCATTCAAATTAACAAAAATCCTTTCTTAAAATGTCTCTCTTTTACAGATGAAGATGATGATGTTGATGGGTCAACACAAGGATCAACAAAAGATATCCAAATTTCAACAGATTCCAGTAAGCAAAATTTTAGTCAGGGATGAATAGTCACCCATTTCTTTATTCAGATAATAATCTTTATTCATATAATCTTAACTTGTATTTCCTTATGAAATAATGTTAAATGGTTATTCTTCTAATGTTAGGTTTTAGTTTTAGGTCCAAAGTTTTGGTCCAACACTTTTATCCAGGACCTTGGTATCTTCTTGGTATTTTCCATTGGTAGGTTGGCATAAGTGGCATTCTGTTCGTTACCTTGGCAAACAGGTCATTTCTCACAACGTGGTAGTTGAAGAAAGAAAACATGGTGTTAATAATCCATAGATAAGCTACAAATTTAAAGGGCAGACAGCAGTGTTTTTTCAGAGCCTTTTGCTTCTATGCTTGCTGGATCCAAATGTTGCTGAGGACATCAGGTGAATTTTTTTTTTGGCTTGGGCATGTTACAGTAAACAGGACTGAACTGGACTGGCTGGTTTTTACACAGTTAAATTTTTAAGCATGTGGAGTTTTCTGGGGTTGGTAGCAATCAAATTCCTGCTTTTTAGAAGATGAGGTAGAACTGCAATTCAAGAGCTTCCCACCCTTATGTCCATGTTAGTAATTAGAACAACGTGGTACGTGCTGCCTAGTGGAGCTGCATTGATTGTTGTAAAAAAGGACATTTCAAATCAATAAATACTAATATTTTAATCCTGAAGTTCTTGCAAAATTAAGAGACTAATTGTGCAAGTGCTATTAGAATTTTTAAAAAATCAGCTCAATAAGTAGTTAAATCAATCAAACCAAGTAGTTATAGAAGAGATCTCAAGCATCCTCTTGTTTCACTTTCTTAGTTCCTGAGTGTCTTTAGGGTATGATGTGCTGCCATACTTCCATATTATGGGAAAACACTCTAACTGCAGTTTGTCTAAACAACTTTGACTTTTTCCAGTGTTTTAAGTGGCTTAAGTGGTTGAGTGTGAGGACTTCCACATTTCAACAGTTAAGCCTCTTTCCCTTATGACTGTCGAAAAGAGCAAATTGTGTATCCAGATATTTCAGCTGGACTCATTGGAAGCATTAGTAGCTTTAGTTTAGCCTTTAGTTTAACTCAGCTTTAGTTTAGCCTTCCCAAAAGAAGAAAAAAGATATGAAAATTCAGGGCAGCATACAAACTTTAGTATGGCATTTGTTCAGATCATCTCTGGACTGGAGAAAGCAGCAGTAGATGGTATATTTTTAAGGGTCATGTGAAGTATCATTGGTTGTGTTTTAAAAAGAACAGTGGCATAAAATATTGCTTTCTCGTAATGCATTTTCACAAAATTTTGGAGTGTAGAGTCCAGTCACTTTGCTGTGATTTAGAAAGCTCAGCTAAAACCACACTCACAAAAAGAGTCAGAAATAGCATTTACTGGTAAGGGCGCAGCCATGCAGTACCAACCAGCAACTTCTTTAAGCATGACCAGCTTCCTTTGTCTCCTTATCCTTCTGTTTTCCCATACTACTTCTTCCCCAAATGGCTTTGATTTCTTGCCTTGATTCGTCTCCTAAAGTTCCCCTAACAACACTTGTACCATCCCAGAATGCTTCTCACATGTATCTCATATATCCCTGCAAGCTGAGTGACCTCCTTGGTCAGTGAGGTGTCCTACAGAACTTCCCCTGTGGACTCCTCTGGTGTGTGCCACCCCCAGATGATGGGATTGGTGACCTTGGGTCAGCTCAGGACATGGCTTCTCTGATAACCTACCTGATAAAGTGATTGTTGTGTTGTTGTGCCTCTCTGTGTGTGGGGAGTCATAAGCTGCTGAACTCAACATGACAATGACACAGTTGTAGGGGGCTGTACCACTTTCACCTGTCTCGGGATAACACCATTTGTGTAACGTGGGTTGAGAAGGAGCTGCTCACTGCTTCTGTGTGTTGACTCAGTATATCTGCCATGTCTTTTGGGATGTTGCCATGCTTTCACTCAAGAGTGTCTGAAATCAATTACATTCCAGGATATTTAGCTTTTCTTAATTCCAGCTCCTTATGTTTTAGGGGTACATATTTCTAAATACAATGAAAACAAGTCAGAACAAATTGAATAATATTGACGTGGAAAGACACACTTTTTTCCATATGAGAGAAGCCAGTAGAAAAGGATACCATGTCAGTAGTTTAGTATTGGAAGAATATTTGAATTAGTAGTCTACATTCATTTTTGTTACTTTGCTATTGTAGTGGGCTTGTTGAGTGAAATTAAAGTTCGAAGATCTAAGTCTTAATATTGGTAGTTTAAATGTGTTAAATGCACCACTGTATTTAGCCTACCAAGATACTGAAACCAAAAGCATAAAATTAACATAAAAACAATTGCACAGTTTCTGAGATTTAATAGACATACACATGGGTTTGGCAAAGGACTCTCTGCCCTGTGGGAGTCTCTCAGCACTCACTGACTGCGCGTGAACTGTCTGATTCACCCTGCATCCATCTTCTGCAGGACAAAATTCAGCCATCAATGAAAACCCGTTCTGGAGGAGGTGTTAGAGGAATCTGTCTACCAGAGAAATGGGAGCTTCAGTGCTGTCAGCAAACAGATGTTTCACAGCATGTCCTTCCACAGCCCCTGTTTTGCTTTGTTCAGGTTGCTGCTCATCTGCTGGTTTTGTATTAGATAGACCCAAGTCGTTGGCTTTGAGTTTGCTTATGTCTTGTCCCAAACCAGCTGACGGTGCAGAGGAGACCTCCACTGTAATTCTGCAAGCAGGAACAAACTGTTTTCCACAAGAAGCAAGGACAGCATATGGGCAGGGATTTTTCCCCTAAAGATACTTAAGAAAACTTTAAACTTTCACAAAAAGGGCCATTGTGTTCTTCTGTAACTGCTTACAGATAACTGAACGTGTCATATTTTCCTCAGCAGATGTTTGGAAAGGCTCTAAAAACCAAGAGAAGAAAGGTTAAGAGGTGGCTACCAGAATGGGAGGACAGGTGTTAACACAGATTTGTGCTTCAAAATTGTCTGGAAACTAGGGGAGTTTCAGCTGCTTAACAAAACAAGTTCAGAGCAGGCACACACCTGCAAATGGCTCTCTTGGAAGAGAAAGAGCTAGGGAAAGAAAAGAAAGGAAGGGAAGGAAGAGTAAGAGGAAGGAATCTGGGATTCTGAAAGGCTCTCTTCAAGGGCAGTAAAAGAAAAAAATACATAATCCTTACAAACATAAATGCCATCATGTAGGTTATGAATCCTAATACTGAAATAAACCAAAATTTGATAGTCCCCACTCAAAGAAGTAGCAGCAGAGAAGAAAAAGAGCATAAAGCGTGTAAATAACACGGGTTGTTTCAGGAAGAGTGGTTCTTGGTAAGCTATGTTGCTATAATTTAGTCTTTTAAGAGTAATTACAAATACACTCAGTATGGGCCTTTAGCTTTCTTAAGTGACAAAACGATTCAGGACCACATAATTTTCCTGTCTCAGTCACAAGCCACATGTAAGTCTTTTCAGAAGCCATGTCCTGTCTGTGGGGATTTGGAAGTCAAAGGGAACATGAACTTTGGACTTATCCAATGCTGTTTTGTCCTTTTCCCAGGAAAACTTGGTATGTTAACCTCTGAAATCAAATTCCCCACTTTGGTAAATTATGCCTGGAGTTAACTTTTTGTAGTTACTTTCCTCTTGGAAAGGGTAAGCATGAATAACAGGTTATTTTCAGCTCAGTATCCCATGGTAAGAAAAAAAATTATGTGTTTTTCAGGAGAAAGTCCTGATACTGTGTACTCTGATCCAACAGGAAAAGATTAAAGACATTTAGAAGTGAGGTGCCAGTATTACAAAACAGGCAGTTACTCCTTTAAATACCACAATTTGATACGTGCATCTGTTTGATATTAGCAAGTGGTTTTATAGGTATATATTTATTTATTTATTTATTTTTATATATATATATATATATATACACTAAGTAGGTGTATGTAGACTTCGGTAGCTGGATCATTTTCTAATATTTAAAAATTGGAACAGGTGGAAGGAAGAGTTTTACCTAATTTCAGAAGTGGTTATAGTTGAACATCTTTCCAAGGCTAGTTAGACAAATCAGACTGGCATAAGACACCCCTTAACTTACATGTGTTGGATGTGCTCTTGACGCAGTGGAGAAATGTATTTCTGGATGACTAATTGCAGTATGTAGCTGTTTTATTCTTCTGTTAAGCTCATGTGCAAGCAAGCCATTTTTCGCTGGGTTGCAGTAAAAGTGTCCCCTGTGAGAAGGACAAAATCAAGTGTGATTTTTCAGTGATAAAGTTGAGGAGGTTTTTTGTGTGATGGTTACCAGATTAGCAGCATTATGTTTACTTATCTAAGAAGTATGCTTGAGCTTAGGACATCGCTACTGGTCCGTAGATCTAAACTTGTTCTTGTAAACCAGTTTATTTTGAGAGTCAATCCAACTGTTCTTTGACTGTTCTTAAGACATGGAGAGCTCATAAAATATTCTCCAGTACGCTTGCTAGGGATTCTCTTAGGCCAACTGGTATCTCATAAGAGGAGACTGCAAAGGCACGGCAAATGAAAACAAGTACTAGAACTTGGATGAATGTTTTTATTCTCAGATGGTTGTCTGCTTTCTGATTGCTAGAGAAAACAGCACCAATTTTGATAGTGTTATGATAGTTCATACTCAGAACATCAGCTGGGCTGTCAGAAACCAGTGTTCACTTGTTTTCTCAAGTTGTGTTAGCTCTAAAGAAGGTCACCCAGGACACAGTGTGTCTTTTGGTTAACATTTGTCTATGCTGTGGTTACCATGGAGATCACTCTGACAGAAATCTATGTCTAAAAGAATTCCACTCATTCTGGCATAGATCCAGCAGAATTTAAAGGAGTAAGTCACTTTCTGATGTGTGCTATGGCCTCAATGCAATGGTTGTTGGGTTTCAAGGGTACTTCTGAAGTAAGAGTTGATGATTTGTATCTTCCTTATATTGTGACTAAAAAGAAATTGACAACAGATGCAACCACTGTGATAACTGGAAAACTGAAAATCCACAGTGATATCAACATAACATAACATAATTTTCATATCAACAAAAAGAATTGAAAAGTCACAATGTATCATACCAAGTTGGGTGTGGCTCTGAGCAACCTGATCTACTGAAAGATGTCCCTGTCAGGATTCTTGTACTCCATGACTCTTGAAGGCCACTTACAACCCAAACTATTTTATAAGTCTGTGATTGTATTTGTTCTGTTTCTGTCTATTTTTCTTTGTGCATCATGTGTTATACAGGCTTCTCCCCAAAGAGTCACACATGGCTGAGGTTGGAGGCAGCATGGAGGTTATCTAAGACGGCCTCCTGCTCAAGCAAGGTCACTCAGAGCAGCTTGTCATGTTCAGTAAGGCTTTGAATGTCATAATAGAATCATAGAATGGTTTGAGTTAGAAGGGACTTCAAAGATCATCTAGCCCCTGACGCAGGTAGGGACACCTGCCACTAGACCAGTCAACATAGCCAGTTTTGTCCCAGGAGAGACTAGGACAACTTTGCTGGATGGGAGGCTGTACTGGGGACTGCTTTGCTTTGTGCAATGAGGTCTTCATGTTATGTCATGAGAATGTACGTGCACACACATTGTGCCATTACCAGTGGAATTGATAATGAGGAAATATTCTTAAGAAGAGGATGTCACATTTCAGAATAAGGAGAAACAAGGATCATGAGAATTAAGGTATCATGATTTTTCTTTGAGTGTTAGAATCTCATTTTTAAAAGACTGCTTTCACACATAAGTGATAATCCTTTAGTTAATCCTTTAGTTCTGTGGTGTCTGCTTTTGATTGAAGTTGGAGAACATATACTGAAGCGGAAATAAGTGGATTAGTTTCAGGTGGTTCAAGAAAGCTGGCACTGAAGTGTCCTTGCTAAGTAGTTATACACTGCAACCTTTCCCCATAATCTGCCACTGCAGCATTGAGGTACCCAGTGATGCACATTTCTGCCTGGATTCATGCTTGCTTTTTATCAGTCATCAGTTAGAGGTGGTTTGGTGGTTTTCTTCCTCCAGTTCCAGTTCTCCTTTTTAATCCTTCTATGGTAAATGGCAATTTGCTAGTGTGCTTCATTGAACCTAAAAGCTGATATTATTTGAGAGCAAAAGGCTCTTTGTATTTTATTCTGTACTACAAAGTACTTCCAAACTGTAAGGGAAGCATGGAAGTAGGCTCCAGCATGTAACATGTCTCCTTTATAATGTACATTAACAGGCTGCATGATTAACCAGTTGTGTGAGCATTACAGCTGGCATATGTGGCTTTCACTCAATATTTCTAACATTCCAAGAATTAGAAGTGGTAGCTTCTGGTGACTGTACTACTTGATGATGAATGCAGGTGTACAGATTTATTGTGAGATCAGACTGTAACACTGTGCTGTACAATGGGTGACTTCTGTTAATTGTTCAGTCCAATACTGCAATAAAAAGGACATATTCTGTCAGTGACAAATAGTTATGTCTGCTGTAAAGCATCACCTCTGGGGAGTACCTACAAGAACCTGCAAAACTTAGCAGCTCATCAGGTGTCTTCATAAAGATGTGATCAGGAGAGGACACAAGGTCTGTCTTAATGAAATCTCCTTTCTGGTCTGGATTGATTAACTTGGTTTTCTTTCCAGGGGCAGTAAGGATGCATGTAATGCACTGGTAATATTAATTTGTTCCTAAAACATCTCAAAACCTGCCTGTTCTGTGAGAATTTAGTTGCATTTTGCTATTACTCTTAAAAACGTTGCTTAAGAGAGAGGCTTTGTCATACAGCAGCCTGTAGCTGAGTCATAACCCATCTTTGTGAAAGGTGAACCTGAAAGCCTTCACTCTTCACCCTTTCACAGATGTCTCTGCAACAATCTGCTCTCAACAGTTTGAGCATGGACTTAATAAGGCTTTAGTGAAGTGAAGCACAGGAAAAGGCTGAAGGTCTTCATTTGCTTCTTTCTTCCAGTTTTTCTGTTGTCCGTGTATTTTCCTCCCATTGCCTGTACACTTAACCAGCTATTTTAAGGACTTTCTTTGGAAGCACTTGCTCAGAACTGGCAGTGCTCTGGGAGGTATTCTGAAGGGAGTGGCACTTTGTCTTGGTCTTTAAGTAGTTCAACTTGTCAATGCAGTCTTGAATGCTGAGGATGAAGATGTGATAACATACACAGTCTGCAACAGTTATATCAAAAGCCAGGATAAAACTGTGATTACTCATCTCTCTTTCCTCTCTGAATGTATCCCTGTTTTAAACAAACAGTAACAAAACAAAATTTAAAAATATTCAGCCTCAAAGCTTGTCCTGTGACAAAGAATGTTCGCACAAAGAAACATTTCAGTGGGTTAAAAGCACAGGTTTTCTTCTGATTCAAGGTGTGTGTTAATGAAATACAATTGTTTCCACTCAGGTAAACAAACACTAAAGATATTTGATGGGAATGACGCAGTGAAACGCAATCAATTTCGACTGATTTCAGTTCCAAGGATTGCAAAAAATGAAGAAGTTGTGGTAAGATACCCAGTGAGGGTCAGTTTTCCAGTGTGATACATGTGATTTCATAACAAGAGTAAAAAGCTAAGTTTTAGAAACGTAACTCAACAACAACAAAAATCTGTGAATAGGCGATAATACTGCAACATAATTTGGCTTCTTCAGGTAGTGCTCCTATTTAAGATTATCTGAGGAGATGGTGGCTTACACATCTGTAGCACATGTAGCACAATGGCAACCACAGCATCACCTGTTAAGTTTCCTGTTGTTACTCTGAAGCCTGATTTTACTGATACGAGCAATACAGGATAACCAGCTCCTTAGATCTTGCTCCTTTTCTGCAGTAGAGGCTTGGTATTTATCTTGGACAGCCATCAATATTGCACTTGAGTTAATCAGCTTTGAACACTAAGGCTTATTATAGTTACCCCCATCCCTTGACTGTGAAAATAATCAGTTATTGATCACATGCTGCCCCCTCTGTAGCTTTTCCAGTGTTCTGTCTGGGATGGAAAAATTACTTTGTTCTCAAGTGTGCTGTACAGATCTTTATTTACTGGTCTAGGCAGAGACCCCATGCTGTGAGAGATAAATCCCAGAGAGGGAATACGGTGGTTCACAATAAAATTGTGCATGGTGAGGACTCAGAGTCATACAGACTTGGCAAAGAAGTCTGAAGAATGTATTACATCAGTATTTTGACAATATAAAGCTAAAATTATTAGGATTTTTATCTTTATACTGTCCTCAAAATCAACAGGAGTTTTGCAAAGGCTTTGTAGTGTTCTGCACGTCAAAGATCTTTAAGAAAAACTGTGTACAGGACTGAAAACATTTAGGAGTGCTACTTGCCTTTCAAGCGCATTTTACCAGGATGTCACTTTAATACCAGAGAAGAGGAATACAAGTTCTTATAAGCAAACTGTATTGACCACAGCATCCGTGTTAGCAGAGGTGCTGCAGGCATGGGCCCATTATGGATGTAAAATTTCGGTGTGCATCTTGCAAAGACAGCCCTTCCCTTGCCTCTTCACAGGTGTATGGCTTCAGGGCAGCTTTGTGGCAGAGAAGCTCACTAATTTTTGGCATCTCTTAGTGCAAGAAGACTGAGTAGGCAGAGTTGTGTTCAATCAAGTGTAGTTTACCATTTTCCTTGTGGTCTAAATTTTACATGCATGAATGTAGATTTATTGGACCTCGATTTTTACATTTGGTCTTAAAATGACTATTACTTGCCAAAAATACTGTGGATTGTGTTCAAATGCGTGAATATCTCAAGCTCTCTTTTTTCATGTTCACTGAAATTTGTTTTCAAAACTTAACTCTTGTTTTGATTTTTTTTGCCGTTGTTCTATATATACTCCTCTGAGGTTAGAGCATGCATTGAAGGTTCATTTCATAAATCAGGTATTTATAATGTCTATGGCTGCATAGGTATTAATGGTGTCTTTTCAAGTAAATGTTAATTTATCTTGCTGTGTTTTAGGAGGCTTCTTTGAGGGCGTACTACATAAATGATGACCAGCAGGAGTATGAGCTTCAGACCTTTACACAGCAGGTGCTGCTCTCTGATGATGTTATCAACAGGAATGATGCTGCAGAGGACAGCAACTTGGGCTCAGTGTTCCGAGAATCTGTTCCTGAAGCTTGGATCATCAGAACAAAACCAAAGGATGAAGAAGTGATCAGAATTTATCCTGCCTGGCTAAAGTGAGTATTTTCCCTTTTGATCACAAGTTATTTTGCTTGTCTATATTTGTCCTTTGTAGTCTAGCCCTGTTTGCTTTAGTTATTGAAGCTGCAGAACTCTAACAGACAGTGCAGTTCCTTTCTCTGTTTCAGGATTCTCCTGTTCATTTTTCTGAATGGATAGTGTGCACAACATTCATTTCCATGCCTGGAAACCCTTGGGTTTCTTTACATGTGTGGAACATACAGTGCAACTTGTGCAGTTCTATTGTCATGTGTTTGGTTAGAAAGATGAAGCTTTACATTAACTACATCTGTAAACAAATGATGACATACACATCAGCTGAAAAATTGGTGGATTTTTTTGAAGAAATGTGAAGTAAGAAGAACTAAAGTGCAACTTCCCATGTGAGATGAGAAAGAAAGAAAGAAAAAAATTATATTTAAAAAAAAACTAACCAAAAAGCCCCAACAACTACACAATTTACCACTGAAACAGTGTGAACTTTAAGTATATTTAGTAGTGGAAACAAAATGGTCTGGATCCACTAATTTCTGAAGACTTGTGGGATAAAATTTAACCATGTGTTCATTTTGCTGTTACAACTACATTGACAAGCTTTATGAATGACTTGCAGATTATCTTTGTGATTAGGAAGGAGCTAATCTTTAGTGCTACAATTGTAATTAGCAATTCCTTGAGATGAAAGTGTTTTCTTGTCTATGGCGCTGGTAGAACATCTGCCATGAGCCTCAGTGAGCAACTTTCTTCAACTAATGCAAATATGTTTGAGAAAATTCTATACTTAGTTTAAAAAGGTACACAAAGGGTAGATACTAAAATAAGTATTTTTCTCCTTAGGGTGGGAATGGCATATGTTTCTCTACGAGTAAATAAGGATAGCACTGTGCAGACTGTGATCAAAGAAGTGCTCCCATTACTTGGAAGGCAGGTAAGTGAAAGATCTTAAGCACATCCATCACCAGAGTGACCCTGACAGTATGTATTTTTCTCTTCAGAAAAACTACAATCCCTTAATTCGCACTTATTGTAAATGTTGTTAGCATTTGGTAGATGGTCTTTTGTGACCAGCATGCTGCTAAAAGCTTAACACAATCTTCAGGATAGGTAGGCACTGCTGACTCATATTCACCTTGCCATTGACCCAATCTCTGAGATCTTATTCCAGCGGGCTGCTCTCCAGCTCTCATCCCCCAGTTTCTATTTTTCACCAGGATTACCCCATCCCAGGCTTGAGAATCTGGCAGTAGCTCTTGTTAAAAATTTCATATGGTTAGTGATTGCCCAGCTCTCTAGCACATCCACATTTCCCCATAAGGGTCCCCTACCTTTGAGGGTGTCAGCAGTTCCTCCTAGCTTAGTATCATCAGGAAACTCACAGTGCATTTGATTTCTTCATCCAGACAATTTATAAAAACATTAAAGAGCACTGCAGAAATTTTCTTCCTATGGTGGCAAGCAGCATCTTTGTAGCCCCCAAAGGATGCAAGGAAGGACTCAAGGTTGAAATGTCACCCGTGTTCTTTACTGTCTGGATTACTTCCCACATCACTGGAAAATTCTAGATAGGTCTTGTAATCTTGTAGATGCACATGCTTTCTTTGGAAGATAATCTCTTTTCAATCTCCCTGTCCTTCTTAGGGTTGGTGCCAAAACAGCATGACTTTCAGGAAACATGTTAGTAGATTTGCTAGCATGCCAAGCCACTGGCAGGCCCAGCCTCCCCAGTATGGAGACACAAAGCTGTAGTGTGCACATTTTAGTCAGCACCTGGGGCTCGTGAGCACACCAGCAAATCAGCACAGTTCCACTGCTCTGGGGCACAGCCATGCTCACAGAGGGTGACCGCTGCCCTTTGTGGTTATTTATGGGGTACATAAGAACATGCTTGTGACTAGCTCTCTGCAGTTAGTGATAATCAGAGATCTTTCTAGGTACATCCAGCTGTGTAAAGCGTGGAGCTTGTTTTGGCTACAGGATACTTCCAGGATTTGTTGTCAGTCCATTTCCTCAAGTGCTGTGGACTTCTTAACAAAAATAGGAACAACCATGTCCAAAGTTTTGTCTCATCTGAGAAAAGCAACTATCAAACAGTATAGGTGGAAATTCCGTTAGGGAAAGAGCTTCCCACCTCTGTATTTGGGCAGCTAGATGTATGCTGTACGAGACCTAATTCTTTGGCTCAATTGCAATTTCTCCAATAGTGGTAATTTTTAAATGCTCTACTTGTTTTTCTGTATAAACATGCACATAAAAGAAATCTCTTTTTAATACGCAGAATTTGCCTGTGCTCAAAGTTGCTTTCATCAAATGTCAGGCAAAGCACATGTAGGGGAGTTGAGGCTCTTAACACCCCCATTCATGACACGTAAAGCAAGATCATTTGTCTCTTGAGTCTCAAGGCCAAAAGTTAAAACCCTTCCACCTGAATGTCCTTCAGTCATGTATGTTTGCAGGGTTTCAGTCTTTGTCATAAACAGTACAGCTCTTGGCTGTGCCAGCTCTTCTGGTCCAGCTGCAAGGGACTTGAGTGGTCCCTGGCAAGAGCTTGGAGAAGAGACTGTGGCACATGTGAAGAAGGTTTTGTGTCTGGAGTGTCCCAGGAAGTGGGGAGTGGTCAGCCTGCTTTTGCCAAGCTGGTTCCTGGGCAATCTTCTCCAAGAGCAGGCTCATTCCCAGTCCCGCATGTTTTCTCTGGAAGGACACTCAGGAAATACTCCAGATGAGCTAGCTGCTCATTGCTGAAGCAGGAATGGGATTAACCATGCTGTACAGGGGTCCCTTCACAATGTGGCTGTGAGAATGCCAATGTTTTTAGAAGCATGGGAACATGTTGCCATGTGTGTGTAAAATGAAGGTTATTCCTGTCTTGGAAGGAGCTGGTTGGAGCAAGAACATCCTGGTTGATTTAAAAAAAATTTAATTTTTTTTAAATGTTTAGTTTTCTGTGCTATGTTATGCACTATGGACAGGATGTAACACACAGTAATGTAACATCTGGCAAAATTATGTCGGTCAGAAGCTGTATTTACATGCTTTATCTTTCGGCAGACGGAGTGCCTCCAGAATTTCAAATTGGTGGAAGTGCTTATGGGCAGTAAGCAAGGTAAGTGAAGGCGCATTGGCCAAAGACACATCTAATCTCTGTGGGTTTTTTCCCCATCCTAACAGTCAGAGTTCATTTTCTACAATAAAAAACAAATTAAAATAAACTTCAGGGTGACATTAAAATACGTAGTCAGAAGTGGTGCTGATTCTTTTCAGTCCTGTCTGTCCTGTGGGAATAAGATTTCCCTTCATTATTACCTAAAAACTCATTTGTGGTTTCTGGTGGGTATTGACACTTTTGCCCTGTTTTGGAGAGCTATGTTTAACTGACATAATTTTCTTAATTGCAGTTATTTATTAAAGATTAATTCTAAAGTTCAAATGGCTTCTTTCCTCTTCTTTCCTCCTGACACAGCCCCTGAAGAAGAGTAAGTTTGAGTCCTAAGACAGTCTAAGAAATATGTTTGAGTGTTAGGAAGAACAGAAATCTGCAGTTCTAGCATTGCTCAAGTGTTTTGTGATCCTGCAGGAGCTGGGCTGGTGTTCTCCAAGCTGATGTCCCTTTGTGCTTCAGTATTTGTAAGGTTGCATGGAGAAATCAAGACCGTGAAGTAGTCTAATGCTCTGACCACAGCTGAATAAACATCTTGGTAGTTCAAATACTGTCTCCATGCTTTGCTTTATTTGCAAGCATTATTGGGAAGTTGTTTCATAAGGTTATTGAAGCTTTGTGAATGTCATAACCTTGATTGGTTTCTGTTACTCTGTTTTAAAGCATCATTTGCAACCTTACATTCACTGGAAGTAGTTAGAATTGTTTTAAGATTTTGATAAAACACAGAAGGTGGGTTCTTTTTGTACTTGTTAGGAATACAGTTTGAAAGTCTTCTGTCAAACTGTTAGATTATTACCAAAGTACTGTTTGTCTTTTGAGGGGTTCAGGCTGTTTCTGCCTTTTTCTCAAGGAGGGTGGTATTTAAGAACTCTGGAAAGAGTCAGACTGCTGCAAGCACCTATGTGTTTTTATTGTTGAATAAGACATAGCTCATGTCTGCATGATCGTTTATGAGAAAATTAGTTGTATGCCGAGCTTTACTTTTCCCCTAATTTTTCTTCTTTTTGTTTTTGTGTAATTGAGTCTGATAATAATTTACATGCTTTCTAACATGATGAATGTTCTTCCCCTCTCCAGTTCAGCGCATGGTTTTGGACAATCAGGAACTGATTCTTAACAGACTCAAGGATATACGAAAGGTAAATCTGAAAAAGAAACATGATTTTTTTGTTTTTTAGCAAGATGAAGTTCCCTTTCTTACAGAAAAAGTGAGTCATTGGTTACCCCCTAAGGAGGCTCAAAGATAGAGAAGCTAAGTGCTTGAACTGAAGTTTGTTTCTGTTTCTGATATTCTCTAGGCATAGAGGACGTGATTGCCAAGTGCAGAACTCTTTTGGATTTTGCCAAATGTAATATCATTTATTTTCCTTTATTTTGGTAGACTTCAATACGTCAGATGAATCAAACAAGATTTTACATTGTGGAAAACAGTAAATCGATTGTACAAGTAAATTTATTTGTTGGTGGCCTTCCACCTCAGCTTTCTCCTGAAGAATACACAAATATTCTCAAGGAAGAATTAGCAATCAAAAGTAAGTAAACAGGTACATTTTCAGACACACTAACTTGTACAGAACAAAATCTAGTAGCATCAATAGCTCATTTTTCTTATCATTCTAACTTTTTCTGACCTGATTTTAAAAAATTATTCTGCCTTTCACTCTCACATGGGCTTTTAAAATAACTTTAACATGCACATAGTTGTGGAATAGTTGTGACAGCTTGTTATTTACAGAATAACAGTTATAAGTGACTACACTTTTTTTTTTTTTGTATATTTGTGTGAAAAGGCATCACTTTTTAGAAGAATTATACATACCTTAAACTATGTGCAGAATATCCCTTGCCTTTTTTAACCTCTGGCATTTTTTGTCTGGGCTGTTCTCCATGTTAGTCATGAGCTCTGTGCCCCATCATGGAGAAGTATGAGCAGTGTGTGCACACACATATGGACAAACACTCAAGGAAAAGAATTTATTTTTCTTTTTCAAAGAAGTGTAATTGAATTTTCATAATACTCCTTCAAACAATACTTTCTATAAACAGTGTCAGGAATGTGCCGTGCTTTTTGTTGCAGGAAACAAAGCATTTTTCCCAATCTTTTATGTCACTTCAAGAGGAATTAAACTTGAAATGCCAGAAAGAATTCTTAGTCACCTTTTATGAAAATCAGTTTAGCTGTTCTTACTTGCAAAGTAAACATGAGAAGAAAAGTGTTAGCTGGAGGTTCTCCCTGTATTTGTATAACTTTTAATATTTATTTATATTATATTTATGTAACTTTTTTAAATACTTTAAATATTTACTTTGAATGTACCCAAGGTTTTATGCGTTTATGTTTTTACCCTTTGCAGCAAATGTAGTATCTGTGAGTCATGTTTATCAAGCACAAGGTAAGCATTAAAATTTTTAGTCTTGCAAACAATGTCTATGTTTAAAACTGCTGTCTAATACTAGAGGCTGGAAGCTCAGAGCATGTTAGTCTTACTGCATAAGCAAAAGGCCCTTCAGGTAAAATGCAACACATTGTATTTATGAAGAACAATGGATTAGTGTTACCTTATTAAAAAAAGTTAAAAGGTTGACTGCATGTCTTGTGTTCCACAAGGCGTTAATATTTCGTCATAAAAATTAGTTTTGAAGTTGCACTTCAACTGAATAATCTAGCACAACAGAAATGTTAAAAATCATTCAAGTGAAGGATTTTTAGTCTCTTTGATTTTGAGAATACTAAAATTTGGTGCTGCTTTTGGACTCAGTGGGACTGTTTCATAATCACTGTTTCCTAGCAGTTTTAAGAGCTAGAGTTCAATGGCTGAAAGTTGAAGAAAATAAATGCGTTCATCCTTTGAGCTGTTTCTTTGCTTTTGCTGTATGAATTTTATTTCAGTGAGGTCGGAGAAGCCATGAGGCTTCTGACAGCTGGAGCAGCAGTGGCTCTGGGCAGCTTTAGTGCAGTGGTCAGGTGGAGATCTGCATTTGGTAAAAATTTAAAGTGTGGAATTTTCTCCTCTGTATGTTTAGGTGTCTATAGTTGAGATGTTTCACATCCTTTGGCAGGCTTGACTTCCACATGTCTGCTAAATGGGTCTTTCTGGAGCGTGGTTTTGAAGAATGATGTGTGCTTCCTTTGGGTTATTTGCTGTCTCCACACGACTGACTAATTGATACTGATTGGTTTTGATCTTTGCATAGGAAAAGCTGTAAAGCTTTCACATGTACCTTCTCCTTTTCATATTTGTCAGTGGCCAATACTTGGTTTTGTGATACTCATCCCATGTCACAGCATCATTAAACCAAATTTACATGCACGTGCTTTTTAGATGTTTCTGCTTGTATGTGATTTTTATTGCCACTTTCTTCTTATGTTTGTATTTTTGTGGTTCACATAAGTTCCTAACTCTCCTGTTTTGTTGCAGCCAGGTTATGTTACCAGCCTACATCTTATATACTGTCCATTTTCCATTTTTGTCTTATCTGCCCTGTTTTTCTCCTCACCAAGTGTCTTACTTTACATTAACTTCTCAGTATTTATTTTGTCTTTTCTCTTTTGGCTTCCCTTCTTCCCCAACTTCTCCATTCAGAACCTAAGCCAACATAAAGATCTAAACTTGATTATCAGCCCAAATATTTGCTTGCAGTAATTCTTACTGAGATATTGTTAATGAACAGAACTAATGGATTTTTAATAATTGCTTACAAAATGAAACCTGATACCTCTGTCACTTGTACATGATGAGAACATGTTAGTAATGATAAAGAGTATGCAAACAGGCCCTACCCCTGAAGCTCAAAGGAAATCTTTAAATATGCATTAGTTCTGTGCTGCAGTTCTTGTCTTCAAGTTGCTTTGCTTTTACAAAAATCTGAGGGTAGGAAGGAAGGTTTAAAAACATAACAACACAATTCAACTGATAACAAATGACTGGAGAAGAAGTTTTGCTGAATAATGTCCTCTGTAAACTGAGTAAACTTTTGCTATGAGACCTGTTTTCTCATAATAGAAAATATAAAAAGTAGTTCTGATGCCTCTTTACAGGTGCTGTTGTACTCCAAATTTCATGTTTTTCTGAAGCTGAAAGAATATATATGCTAGTTAAAGATACTGTTGTCAATGACAAGCCTCTGAATGCTGTGGTGATTCCTGCAGTTATGGTAAGAGACAGGTTTGAATTTAAAAAATGTCTTTAAAAGAAAAAAACTACTGCCTTAAAACTCTTTTTGCTAGAACTAAATGTTTTATTCAAATAGGCCATACTATAAGTAGTGAGACAAAAAAAACAACCAACTTCAGAGCCTGTACTTCATGTATATGATATATTCAGTGCGTTAAGTCATTTGTCCTGTTATTGTTCAATTGTCAATCTACAGCTGCCTAACTGTACAACTATAAAGACGAGGAAAACAATTTTTTTTCGCTTTGTTTCTTCCAATGATCAAAATGTTAAATGGGGTTTCAGTTTCAGCTGGTATGTCTTAAAATGCTTAGAAAACTTTGGTATGGGAGCTAAATGTATTTCATCATTATCTGTGAGGTAAAACACTTCTGCTTATTTTGACAGTGATATTATCTTAATTTCCCCCATTCTGTAGTAGAGTTTTTAGTTCGACCTTGTTTGCCCCTTGAGGATCTCAGAAGAACGTAGTCTTCTGAAAGACTTAGTGCGAGAGCCCTTTCACAAACTCAGGCCTGATTCTGATTTATTCTTGTTGTTACTAATCACTTTCATGTGAATCAGTTTGGTTAATAATAGGTTTCATGTTAATAAAGTGAGTCAATGTGAGAAGAGGAAAATTATTAACTGAGTGAAGTGATATTTTTAACCAGGATTATGTAGGTTCTGTCCAAAAAAGTGTTGCCATGGTTACACAACACCTCAGCAGAAAGTATCTTGCAGTTACTGTCTTTCTGGAATAGCATTATGGCAAGTGAAGTGTGAGTCCTGATTTGACTTCTTGGAACATCACAGGAGGTCAAAAAAATCACATTTTAGTGGGAATTGTGAAACAACTTTATATAGGAGGGTATCAAGTTCCATGGCTGTAGTTGCTTACTCGCATACCTGTATGCTTTCACTGTTTAAAAATAAGTCCTACACTTGTCAAGACTTTCTGCAGGCAAACTTAGGGTTTGAGTAGATACTAGTGGTAGTGCTCACATGCAACTGGCAAAATCAAAAGTTACACCCCCTCCTAAAAAACTGAGAACCTTGTTCTTATGCATTCTTACCTTTTGTGAATTCCTTAGAAATCAAGGCCCCCTTGTCCAAACTAGGTTTCACAGTGCCTGTTGTGGAAACAGAAAGCAGGATTTTGGATTCTTGTTTTAGGTGTATTTTAGGCAAATGCATTATGAGCCTGTATGTGTTGTCTGCAGTGTGAAGTTGCACATACTCCACTCTGCTGATTACATATGTCTGTTTTTCTGACACGGGATATGTTTGAAGAGAACTTCTTGATGCCAGGAAAATGTGGACATTGCTATCTCTTATCTGATGCAAGATATTTTTTAGAAACTCCAGTTCAAGGGACTGCTAGGGACTAATTTCTAATACTTAAGCAGGAGAGAGGGGCTGTACACCATTACAAACACTGTGTTTCCATTTCAGCGTGTTTTGTTTGTATTTGGTCATCTCACTGAAAGGAGCCAAGAGTTAATTTAAATGATACTTCAATTGTTTTCTGTTGATTGTCCACCCAGCTTGTGCCATTCACTAATTACCCAGGGTAGACTAATGGTTGATCACCATCTTTACTTTGGGTAGCAATTGAACTAGATTATCTCCTACAGTACTTTCCAACACAGACTCTCTTTTTAGCCTATGATAGTATTAGTCTTTGTTTATACGTGTGTTGATTTAAATGCAGTACCAGGAAATACACAGGAACTGACACAATACTAAATTTACACCATGTTTGACATTTCTTTTGTGAGTGAAATACAGAGAAATTGGGAATGAAGGGCTAATGATTTTTCCAAATTGCCAGTTAAATTACAGGAAAACCCAACCAATAAAAAAAAAACCAGGAAACCAAAATATCCCTTCTTAAAAATTGGTAAAAGCACGAAAGTATTGGTGGTTAGCAGGTTGCTAGTCTTATTTTGCTGAGGTGGAATTGCTTACTCAGTGTCTGACATACCATCTAAGGAGGAGGCATGGTTCTACTCTGGCATGCTCAGGTCTGCCCAAAGCAATTCACCTTCTTACTCCCACTACTGAGAAGTCTGAGCGCAGAATCAGTTTGCATAAGCTGCTTATTAGAAAGTCAAGCAGTTAGTGTTAACCGACGTGTTGATCTGTTCTGCTGTTTCAGGCCTTTAGGAATTTAATCAAACACTTTTTCATTTCATGATATTCAAATAAATGAAAATACTCCCTTCACTGGAGTGTGAAAAAAAACAAAAGTGCAGTATGTTATAAAGCTCTTTAGCTGCTGTGTGTAAGGAACTGTAGGGACAGTTTGGTTTCACTCTTTGGTATCAATTCAAGGTGAAAGACATTGCAGGACTAAATCTTTCAATTCAGAACTAATTTAACAAAACTTGTTTTGCAGCACAGACAAGCAAGGAAGTCAGCAGACAGTTGTATGTAGCCAAAATCACCACCGGTTTTTGTGGCTTTATTATGAATGCCTTTTACTAGTGGAGTGCCCTCTGATATATTCCATTTAGATTTGTTAAGAGTAGCAGGAAAATATGAAGAAGGTTCCCAAATAGATGAAACTTTCCATTTCATTCATTCTACTAAATCCTCACACAAATATTTACATCTTGAAAGCATCATAGTTAAATGAGCATTTTAGCCAAAACATGAGTGGTTGCTTTTCACCCTTCTGAAAGGGTTGTCAACTTTTTCATCCTTTGCTGGAAGGGTTTTCAAGGATTGGAATGGACTGCCCTGAGAAGCAGTGGGGTCACCAATCCCTGGAGGTGTTCAAGAAGTGGCTGGAAATGGCACTTAGTGCTGTGCTCTAGTCAACAAGTGTTATTCAGTCAGAGGTTTGAATTGGTTATGTTACAGGTATTTTTCCAACTTTTGTTGGAAAAATACCTGTCCCATTTCTGCAGTATGCCAAAAAATAAAGAAAAGGCTTGGAGGTTGACCCACCTGCTGCTCCAGTATTGTTGTGACACCTTGCACATAATTTCTCATCAGATAATGACTCCTTTCTGGCCAGGGTAGAGAAAAATTTGTGCTTGGGGCATTGTGAGTCCTTGCACATGGAAGATGCTGCTGGCAGCCATTTGCAAATGTTGAATTCTCCCTGTCAGAGATATCTGCAGTTCCTGGAGACAGCCCACCGCCCAGGAAGATGTGCTGTGGGTGTCACACTGGTAGGGCTGGTGGCACAGAACGCCTTGTTCTGCTTTGTTGTGAGATGTGATTACACAGTACAGTAAATGTAAAGGGGATTAGCATGGATAATAAACATCTTGCCCCAGTTTAAAGCCGTGTTGTGCTACTCCTGACAAATTAAGCAATTCACAGTGACTATCAGAGTGTCTAAGTCACGCAGCCTCCTTCAGCTGTCTGCAAGAAAAGAGCAATAAATTCCTTCCTGAATGCCAGCCAGCACAAAACCCTTCTGCAGATTTCACTCCTCAGACACAGCACTGAAGCCAGGGCTATAGGGGGAAGGGAGTCCTCGGGCTGTGAGTCACATACTCTCTTCTGCCCAGTAACAAACTCACTCCTCTGTCCCAGTGGGGCTTTATGAAGGAACTTTTAAAAATTGTGCAGCATTAGAGTGCTACCCTTGTGGCTGTCTGTAATTGTAACAAAGAGTGTGCTCTTGAGAAAGCACAGCACCCTGCTTTACTGTACAAACTGTCAAGAGTTTTTAATTCTTACCAAAAAATAATTGCTTTCTTAGAAGCTGGCCTTTATCTGGGATTTAGCACTGTTTCTTACTCCTTTAAGCCTAATGAAGAGTTCTGATGGGAAGCAAGTTCACTGTAAGGACAAGCACTTTTTTGAAATAATCTTTTTATTCTGAATAGCTGCATCTAAATGGGTTTAGTTAGGAATTCACTAAACTAAACTATTCACTAAACTATTTAGTTAGGAATTCACTAATTAGAAGTTACCTTAACAAAGGTGGGTTTGAGTAGTAGGACTATTGACTTTACACTACATACAGATTTTTCATTAGCTCCAGACATTTGTTGTAGCTGCTTGTGAATCTTAGTAGCATTCAGGGTATATATTTAACTGGTTTGGGGGTTTTGAGGTACAGTATTGACATTTGGTAAGAAATACAGTTGGCAATTTACAGTAGAAACTGTAAATGCATATTAGCAAGAATTTATGTTACTTGGTAAGATCTCAGACAACTTTACAAAACACAGCTGTGCTTTTGAATGCCTTAGAGTGTACCATGTCTCAGAAAGAGTTGTAATTCCCTTATGTTTCTTTTGAATTATTTCAGTTACTTGGTTTTAAACCCAGTGCATTAGAACGTCCTCTAAAAGCAAGTAATATAAAACATGTGTTCAGCATGTCACTTCTGAATGTCCCAAACCAGTAATTTTAGAAACTGATTTCCTGAAGAAGAGAAGATAATCAAATGTTCTTGTTACATTCAAGTAAGGTATTTGTTAGACTCCAGAGCTGGGCTGGTTTCTTTGCTCTTATTCTTCTTTGAAAAAGATTTGTTACTTTGAGCTGCAGAACTTCTTTTTTTTTTTTCTTTTTATTATCCTATTAACCCCCCTTGTTTAAACCCCACGAGTTTCCAGGCATTATACCAAGCCTGAGGTTTCAGGTTGCTCAGGGTATTGTTCAGAAAATCGAAATGGCTGGAGATAAATTTATGTATTGAAAAAGCTCTGAAGAGGAAGAAATGGGAAGTGGACAGAAGAGAGGGTAGGGCAGAGTAAAAGCTGGACAAAGAGTGCTGGAAGTGAACAATGTATTCTGTTACCCCATGGGAGATGATGTTTCCTTTCAAAGCTGCTCTGTCTTCTGTTGCTCGTGGGATTTAACCCCATACAGCACTACAGGCTGGGCAGAGTGGCTGGAAAGCATCCCAGGGATGCTGGTGAGCATCTGGCTGAACATGAGTCAGGAGTGTGCCCAGGTGGCCTTCTTGGTGCCCTGGCCTGTATCAGCAGTAGTGTGGCCAGCAGGACAGGGGCAGTGATTGTTCCCCTGTACCCAGCACTGGTGAGGCCACACCTTGAGTGCTGTGTCCAGTTTTGGGCCCCTCACTTTAAAAAGGACATTGGTGTGCTGGAGTGTGTCCAGAGAAGGGAACAAGGCTCATGAAAGGATCGGAAAGCATGTCTTATGAGAACTAGCTGAGGGAGCTGGGGTTGTTTGGTCCCCAGAAAAGGAGGCTCAGGGCTGACCCCACTGCTCTGTAAAACTCCCTGAAAGGCCGGTGTAGTGAGGTGGGGCTCAGTCTCTCCTGCCGTGCCTGCAGTGAGAGGACAAGAGAAAATGGCCTTAGTCTGACATGGGAGATTCAGGTTAGATATCAGAAAAAAAAAAAAAAAAATCACTGTCAGGGTAGTCAGGCATTGGAAAAGGTTGTCCAGGGAGGTTACCATTCCTGCAAGTGTTTAAGAGGCATTTGGATCTGGTGCTGGTGACATGGTTGAGTGGTTTAGGTGTTACAATGGCAGTGCTGGGTGGGTGGCTGGACTTGATGATCCTAAAGTTTTCTTCCAAGCTTGATGATTCAGTGATTATCAAAGGGCTATTCTAAGTGGGATATGGGAGATGATGGTGCAGGAACTGATAGAGTAACAAGATGGCCTTTGCTTGTGAAAACAGCAGATCTCTGCTTACTCTTCCATTAATGCTTGAATGGCTCAAGGGGACAAAATCCATTTGTCTCTTTGGGATGTGTGGATCCTTGAGCTGTTGACTTAATACCCAAGGAATGCCTTTTGTGACAGTGGCATGCATTATGTTCCATAGACTTCTTTTGCTGCCTACAAATATCCTTTCCATGTGCTTAACAGAAATTAATACATTACGCTTGTTATGTGTTGGGCATGCTTTGAGTAATTGCTTCCCCCTTTCAATAAGACCTGAATGTAGAGGCCAAAGGTGTTTTGACTTCAGTTGTCAGTCTAGCATGAAGATGGTTCCTTTGGAGAGAGCTGTGTGCACAGCTTTCAGCCTCTTTATCATCAACCTACTTGTTTTGTCTGCAGTGGAACCTTTCCAGTAAAATAAACATTGAAGTTCTTTCGGCTGTTTGTCCCCCAAACAGCCCTTGTTTGGCTAATTTATTTTTCAAGAAAACAGATATATTTTCAAACTGAATGTCTTGTAGAATCTGAAGGATGAGTAAAGAAGAGGTCAGTGTGTGCCTGCTTCACCAGCTTTTATACCTGTTCATTGTTCCTCTTTTCAATGTGTTTTCTCTGTATCAAGAGACAAGTCACACTGGATGGCAGAGCACATTTCTCATGCAGACAAGTGTTAGAGGAGAAGGATTTTTATATGTTTGTCAGCATCTTGACACATCTGGCAGGGTGTGACTTGCAGAGGATTAGCACCCAGCTCTGCTAAGAACAGAAAATTAGAAGAAATCTCTCAAGTACTGTGACCCAAACAATCATTTGGTTGTAAAGTGCCTAAATCAGGTCACAGGTCTGGGGTGTCTCAATGTCAGAATCTATTTTTCATCCCCACAAATATAACTCATAAATTTGACCCGATTTCTCTGTTGTTCGCTTCAGATCACGGTCTCTGGTGGTTGCTCACAGGCAGCAGCTGAAAGGCTCTGTGGGTGCTGCCTCCTCCCGTCTGTAGCTGTTGGTATCTCTCCACATGCTTGCACGCTGCAGTCATGCTGCTGCCTCACCGACCCCTGAATCATTCTTGTCTAAATTGACTTATATTTAGCACTGTTGTTCTGTTCCCTGAATCCATCTGGTCAGCTGCGTGACAAATTGCTGTTCCCTGAATGCTGTCCAATTTGTAAATAACAATTACCACAACTTAGGGACCATGGCAGACATTTCTGTTTAGAGGTGCAGTTGTTGAAATGTCCAATGGACTTTTCTGGCACATACCTGCACCCCAGTACCCTTGTGGCAGGATGGAGGAAAGGTATGCTGGTGATTTCTAATCTTTCTAGAACTACTTAGAAATCATTTTACAGAACTATTTATGGGTAGACAGGCTGGCTGAACACTAGTCCCAAGGTGCATCTATTGGCTGGAAGTTTTGACCTTCATTGAGGCTGCAGATATTGTTCCTATGCAGTCCATGGAGTGCCCCAGGAAATCACACCTCTGCCATGTCCAATGGCTTCCTTTGCAGTTTCTGGAGGCTTTGAGAGTCCTTTCAGCAGCAGCTTCAGTAGGTGATAAGATACTGGCACCCCTGAGTAAATCCTCATGATGAAAAAGCTTAGCTTACATATTTTTAAAAGAAGCTTTCAGCTTCTGATTTCATAGGGAGAAGTACACCACTGTCTGCCCCAAACATGTTCATTTTCAAATGCTTTGTCCTTGTAAATTGACATGCATTCTAAGTCAACCACAAAACTAAAGAAAGATTTTTCAGTTGGCTTGGGGAGTTCTCGCTTTTCAAGGAAACTGTTTTAATTTTACAAAACTCTTATCCCTCACACTGTTTTTTGGCCAGACTGTTTACTGAAAATGCGTAGGAAGGCTACTTAAAATGTTTCTAATGTTAGGCTCAAATGTGTGCTTGGATTCAGATAAGGAACCTTCAATTCCTAGGGAAGCAAGATCAGCAGCTAACCTGTCCATTGGCTGGACATCGAATCTTTTTATTTATAGAATCTGGATTTTTTTAATAGGCATGAGGTAATATTTCTGAGATGCAGTAGTAGTTTTCCTGCCTTTTCATGGCATTGACTTGTCCTTTTCTTGTCTTCTTTCAGGCTTCCAAGATACCACAGAATTGTTGCCCACTTCTTGTATTTGTGAATCCAAAAAGTGGTGGTCTAAAAGGTCGGGATCTGCTGTACAGTTTTAGAAAGTTGTTGAACCCACATCAAGTCTTTGAACTTACCAATGGGGGCCCACTGCCTGGGTAAGTCGTCATGTTGGGTTTTTTTAAATTTACATTGTTCTGTTATTTTTTAAAAGGGTAGACTAGATTCACTTATTTTGAAGATCTAAATTTCTTCTGTTCTGTTCCTGAAGATCAGGGCAGTGGATCATTTCCTTCTGATTGTTCTTACTGTGACAACATATTTAAACATATCTAAAGAAAAGAGAATATCCTGATGTATATACTTCTGTCAAATCTAGCAGAGTCTGGCCCTGGGCAAGTCATATGCACTTTACAGTAGCATGTGTTTAATAATTATTGAAAATAAATAAGATTTTATAATTGAATGGAGATGGAAAGAGAAATGTAACATTTCCTGATGAAAGTGGATTTTTGCTTTTATTTCTTCTGATGTTTCATGGGAACTACCAGGAAAGTGTAATAAAATTTTCTATTTTGACTCTTGAAACTTGGCCACAGTTGCAGAATTAACAGGGTTTGCCTGATCACAGCTGCAACATTTCTACAAGGAACAGAACATAATGTGCTTGTAGGAAGACAGGAACTGATGACTTGATTTAATGAACCCCACTTTGTTACAGCTTCATAAAACTGAAAGTGATGGCTGTAACCTACTTCTCATTCTTTCACTACTACTTGAATAAAAAACTTGTCATGGCAAGATCTTCAGAACAAAACCTTTGTGGGAAAAATGCAGCTTATGTAGGAGACAAGATAAACAAGCTACACAAACTAATTTTTCTGTCAGAACTTTATAGTTCTGTTTTCTTTTTAATGCACTTCAAGCTGCAATTTCAGTAACCAGTTCATTTTGTTTTGGCTTTGGAATCTTTCTGTAGCTTTATGACAAAATGCTCCCACTTGTTTATTGCTTCTTGTGCAATGGGAAATAACAATTCTTTTCCGTGATACATTAGTATGTAGGATGAAAAACTGCAAAAGGTAAGCATCACCAGGAAAACAGTACTATTAAGAAGAAAATGTACTGTGATACTTATGACTAAGTAAAAAAACACCACCCATAATCAAGATCTCCTCTAGGATCTAGAGAGTTACAGATGTTCATGTTGAAATTATGACTAGTTAGGTCTCTGTGCCCTTGAGAAAGGAAGTGATTAACCATTTAGTTCTATCTGTGAAGAATCTTAGAGGAATATGGTTTTTCCCTTTTTTAAAATCATCTTTATCTACAACTTCATATTTTTCTATTCACTTTGTTGAATTTGATCCAGAAACTGATAGTAAAGGGGCATGGGCAGAAATCCAATAATGCTGTGTTATTTTAAATAGCCTATTGGGACTTTGCATTTCCTATATTCCATTGTAACTTTTCTTTTCCTCTGTGCTTTGCTTCACAATGGAGGTTTCACACATTCTCCAAAGTCCCCTCCTTCCGAGTGCTGGTGTGTGGAGGGGACGGCACCGTTGGCTGGGTCCTTGGTGCCCTCGAGGAAATCAGGCACAAGCTGGTGTGCTCAGAGCCCTCAGTTGCCATCTTACCTTTAGGAACAGGTGAGAATCACAGCAGGAACAGAAGCTGAGCGCAGAAGTGCTCTGGAAAGTTTTATCTTTATCAGTCCAACACAGGACTCAGTTTTGCAGCTGAGATGCCATGAGATTCAGTTCTGGCTGGTGCAGGAAAGTAAAGCACAGTATCAGCTTTTCAAGGAAATGTCGTGCTTTCAGAGAAACAAGCAGCAGGAATGTTGATATGTGCGTTGGGCAGGAGTTGGGAGGGCAAAATATCCTCCTCCTGACAACCACAGGCGCACCAGCCATTGCTGTAAGACAGCATACTCAGTTGCTCCCTGGTGTCTCAACTCCACAACAGGTTTTTCTGCCACTTTTTATGGAAACGCTCCAGTGTGTCTGTATGCAGTGGTAAGCACATGTGCAGACACATCACAGCTTAGATTTTTTTTTTTTTTTGTGCTAGTTAACCTTCTTTCCAAACGAATGAATTCTGTGACTTGATTGGAGCACCTTAGTGCAGTGTGATTTGTAAAACAGCGCTGATGCACTGATTATAAAACACAGTCACACAGTTTTGGTGTTCTTCACTGTTGCCCAGGTAATGACTTGGGGAGAGTCTTGCGCTGGGGAGCTGGCTACAGTGGGGAGGACCCATACTCCATTTTGGTTTCTGTGGATGAGGCAGATGATGTTCTTATGGATCGCTGGACTATCCTTTTGGATGCAGAAGAGCCAGCTGAAGGTGCAGAAAATGGCATTGCGGAACCTGAGCCTCCCAAGGTGAGCTGGGCACCATTTGGGTGTGATTCTTAGGAACTGTTGCTCTCGTGAAAATCACAAAGAGGATGGGTATTAACATAATTAATTTTTACTGCTCACTTGTCTTTGTGCTTGGGTCTTACTGGGCTGTTTCCTAGTGAATACAGCACACATCTGGACCTAGTGTTTTGGTTCTGGCAGGACTAGTTGACTGCAGAGAATCTTTTGTAGCTGTTTAGCAAAAAGCATCTGATAGAGGATTAATGAAAATATTCACATGGCCATGGCATTCCTATTTGCTTCAGCAGGAAAAAAAATTTTCTCAAATAAGAAAAGGCTTTGGAAGAAATGCCAAAACACTTGTAAAACTGGAGTGTCAACCAAAGAACACTCCCTTCCCCAAGAGGTACTCTCATCTTTTCTTTCATAGTTTAAGAAATTACTAGGAGTTGCTAACATATACCGGAAGTAAATCCTTCCGTCATCTTACTGCTATTGTGTGTCTGTATATGTGCCGTCTGTTATTTGCTTTTTTTTTTTTTTTTGAGTGAAAGTCACCGTCACTTGGTTCATATGGGCTTGTTTCTGCTTAGGAAAATAAAAATTGATTGTAGGTGGTGATTTTGGAGCTCAGTGTGAATCCTGGTTCTGTCTCTTTTCATATGAAAGGAAGAAATTGGACAAGGGGCTTGCAAAAAAAAGTAGGAAATTGTAACAATGGTAGCAATTGTCCAAGATTTTAGTCTGGTCACTGGAAAATCCTAGGCTTTACGAGTCAGTTGGAGGATTTAAGATGCTCAGGTTCCAGCTATTTTTCACTTGGTGGAGACAAGGGCTTTTTTTCCCCATCTGCTTTTTAAAGGTGAAGGATGAGAGAGTAAGGCCTAGGATAAAGGAGTTATGGAATGAACTGGCATGCACAGATTTAATGGAAGAAATGGTTGAAATCTGTAGAAACTTGAGGTTGGCATATAGGGAGCTAGTTAAAATGCAGCTGAGTAGGTGAAGTCAAGTTGTTCATTCATCTGGTGTAAGCTGGTCACCTTCCAAAGTAAGTAAGAGTGTCTTCCCAATGATGTAATGTAAATCCATGGCTGATGCCAAAAACAATAGTGGCATTAGTGTTCAGCAGCTTGTAAAGTTATTGCATAGAATTGCTTTGAGAGGTTGAGTTGGTTTTATTCTGCATTTGTTTTTATTTCTGCCTTATTATGCTTGTTACTTTTAATTAAAGTATTAAATTTTGAAGTTTCTGATACTTTGGAAATAATGACTAAGCATGTCAACAGTTGTTCATGCAGCTTTATTTTTAGTGCAGTGTTTCTGGAAAATGTTTTCCAGAATCTGTCAAGATGCAAGTGACTTGGAAGAATCATCTGCAAAACTTGCTGTTGTTGAAAAACTCTGCAAGGTCTTCATTATTCATCTGTAAATGTAAGCAGGAAATTATACCCTTTTTTTTTCATTTTGGTCAGATTGTACAGATGAACAATTACTGTGGTCTTGGCATTGATGCAGAGTTGAGCTTGGACTTTCATCATGCTAGAGAAGAAGAACCAGGGAAATTTAATAGCAGGTAATCCTGGGGAAACTAGGTATGAAGGTCAATTCTGTGGTAATGCATTACTTCCAATTTACACTGCAAATGATAATCTTAAATGCTACAGGTATCCACTAATATTGCTTGTGACAGAGCTGGGACAAGGAGGAATTAAGCTAGCCAGGAAGTCATAGACACAAAATTCCTGTGTTTTGTTGGTTTGGGTATGGTTTGGGGTTTTTTTCCTCTACTGAGAGAGCACCAAAGCAGTTTTTGGAAGCCATATCATTGTTATTCAGTATTCTTAGTTGCCAGTAACTGCACTGTTGAGTTTAGTGAAATTTTGAGATAGTGGAAATATCTTTTGCTCAAAGCCTTTAGCAAGAGTGAGGGCAGTGCTGCTACATGAGCAATAAGCACTGTTCAGAAGCATTCAGGACTTCTGCTGTACCTTTTCTTGTTTTGCCTAGTGCTGTTGCAGCACCTGCATGCTGATATTAAGGATAAAAAACTCTCTGTATCTCAAATGAGAATGTAATTTAAAATGTGTTGACAGAGATCCTCCTCCTCTCTGGCATGCACATCAACCAGTATTGGGACTTTTTCTTTTTCCCATAATTGCTGAAATTGATGAGCAGAAGAAATCATGTCTGTGTAATTAATCAGTAATTCCTTGTAGAAACTGGTTTTGTTTGCTTTCCTCTATGTTTGTGATTAAATGCCTTCGAAATTGTCTCTTGGTTGCCAGAGTTACAGCCAGTTACAACTATGCAGTGTTAAAACTGTAACTTTTAAAAATATTCTCTGACCAATTATGAGTGCAATGATGTGTAATCCAACCTATCTTGTAGTGTGCTGCCTGTCATTACAGGCATTGCTCATGGTGCTTTTCTTAAAAACTGACTAATACAGTTGTTGATGTAAATATAGGTGGCTCCTGGTACATAAGATGCTATTAGCCACTGGTTTTCATTTTCAATACACTTGACTGTGGGAGTCAAGGTAGTAAAACTACCTTGACTTGAGTTTACTACCTGACATAGATAGTAAAATCAGGTAATAAGTTTGTGTATGTCAGTATCTGTTCTAGTACGTGGAACTTTTCTAGATGGACTTCTGCAGTTAATATAATGTAAAAGTGATGTTCATTCTTTCTTCAAAATATACTACTCCATGTTTGCAAAGCTGCATCATTTCAAATTATGCATCCTCTTCTTATTGCCACTGCATTTAAGGGATATACTTTGATTGCTATTGCCCTGTGTGCTTTTCATCCCTGTCATCTTCATCTCAGTCATTTTTCAGTGTGCAGCATCCATACCGCAGTGGACAATGTCTTGGTATCATTCTTGCAGGGTGACTTGAAGGACTTGTGGGAAAAAGAATTAATTTTTTTTTCTCCAAATCTAAAGGACTATATACTCCTGAAAAGGAAACAAGAAATAATGAATTGATACTGAGGTACATTTTGCTGAAGCCAAAAGCTTGTGCATGCTAACAGTGTGACACATGATATTTACCTTTGCCTGCTCCGGTCCCTTAATATTTGTTGTCCTTCACTCGACCCACTCCCGGAGCTCCATGTCTCTCTTGTACTGAGGAGCCCAAAACTGGACACAGACTGAAGGTGTACTTCACCAGGGCTGAGCAGAGGGGTAGGATCACCTCCCTTGACCTGCAGGTGATGCTCTTCCTAATGCACCCAGGATCCGATTGTCTTCTTGGCCTCCAGGACACATGGACATGGACAGCTTGTGGTTCACCAGAAGCCCCAGGTCCTTCTCCTCACAGCTGCCTTCCAGCAGATTGCCCCCAGCCTGTGCTGGTTCATGGGATTATTTTTCCTAGGTGCAGGACATTCTGTTGCATTTCAGATTGTTTCTCATCTGCCCATCTCTCCAGCCTGTCAAGGTCTCTCTGAACAGCTGCAGAGCTGTCTGGGGTATCAGCCAGTCCTCCCAACTTTGTGTTGTTAGTGAACTTGCTGAGGAGGCATCTGGCTCTTCATCCAAGTCATTCCCAGGGGACCCTGGAGCAGTCTTTAGGATTGCATACTACAGAAGAGATCACATATTACTTGTACCATCCAAAATGGCAGAAGATTGCCATGGCAAGCAGTTTCCTAAATGCAAGGTTTGGGAGAATATTTTACGCAATTTAATGCAAGCTTAGACTTGTTTTACAGAGATATACAACTGTTCTTCAGTTAGGGCACTGTGAATTATTCTTTCAGTTTCTGATGGCTTCCTTCTTCATGCAACAAAAATTAATACTTCTTGGGGATATTTCAATTGTTGTGTTTCCTACTGATATTTCAGTATTTTTCAGTTGTATCCAAATTAGACAAAAGCTGTCTTAGCATAGACACAATCTTGCATGGAGCAGAAGTGTATGTTAAATGTCATTACATGAGGTACCTTTAACTTAGTGCTATTTTAAACTGTTAGGACATAGGACTAAGCATTCCCAATGTAATAATTTAAGATGACCGAAAAATCTGAAGAGTCTCTCTCTGAAGATTTGGCTGTAACCTGCATTGGCTGTCGTCCCCGCTTTAATGTCTACAGTATTTAGACGTAATGCTAGAGAGATTTTGCAGAGTTGAATTCCAATGACACCCATGTACTAGTAGGGTAAAATAATGGAAATTTATGTTTTTTATTTTAAGGTTGCCCTGAAGGCCATGCATCCAAAGGTTTCCATTATAGAAGAAAATAGTCTGTGTGTTTAACTATCTTTTGTTTATGTTATTTTTAAAATATTTTGCCATTTCTAGGGATGCCATAAAAATCTTCATCTTTTTTATTCTAAAATTAGAGATGTTAGAGCTCTGTCACAAGTTGAGATTACTAAGCCTGTTTTAAGTTTTTGAAGCTAAGTATATTTCAAGTTAATTAGGAATGTGTAAAGCAAAGATTTTTAAATGTTTTTTTGCCGTAAGTATTGTAGCATTGCTTGAGAAAACAATTTAAAATTGGTCATGATGACCTCTAAGTCTTAATCAAAAATGTAATCTTCCAGCCCAGGAGTTTACATTTCAAGAAGCATTGTATTCAGGCAATGCTTGAAGGAGGGACAATTTTTCTGTAATAAAATTTCACAATCTGCACATGCCTCAACAGCAGAATCATCCCTTAACTAAAGGTATGTAAGGTAGCAGTTCATGGTTTGTGCTTTGTTTTTATGCAGTAAAGCTAGAAGAATTTGAAATTAGTTGTAATTGAAAAACTCTTTAAATATACCCGCTAGAGGACAATAGTGGTGTACATACAGGGAAGAGTGCTTTGTCGGGTCTTACCTTTTAGTTACAAGATCCTTGTCTGCTCCAGGTTTCACAACAAGGGAGTTTACGTGAAAGTTGGACTGCAGAAGATAAGTCACACTAGAAACCTTCATAAGGACATAAAGCTGCAAGTGGACCAGCACGAGGTGGAGTTACCAAGTATAGAAGGACTCATCTTTATTAATATACCCAGGTAAAAAGAAGAGGAAGGATCCCTTATGGGTGCATGCTGGACTGTGCGTGTAGAATTGCCGCTCGGTATTTGATCATCAAGTGCCAAATGGTTAGGTAACAGGATCAATGACAACCTGCACACACTTTCTGACATGCTGGGGACTGGGTACCTAAGCAGTTCCTGCAGTGAAGGCCAGGATTTCAGTGTCAAACACTGCCCAGGTCCTACAGGCAGTTGGCCAATATACATGGAGTGTGTGATGCTGCCTGGGTAGCCATGGAAGACCACAGTTCAGATACCTTTATAGGTCTGTGAGTGCTTCCTTGACAACTGCAGGGAGCTAGAGTAACTGTTGTGTAATTCCACAGGAGATCTGGCTTCCTTAGATGTGATGTTGATAGAAGCAGGTTTTTTGTTTGCACAAAACCAGCAGGTAATTAGTCCTATCATACTATTATTTTTTCAAGTACCATCTTGTCTTAAACAACCTGTATCTCTGTGTTTCAGTCTGAAAATGTTTTATTCAAATGCTCCTTTTTACATGTACACAAATACATTGCACATGAGAGCTGTGGAGAACAAAAGATCCCAGTTAAGTGATGAGTAGTTCATGTGCCAGAACAATAAGCAAGTGATTTGAGTGGGAAGGGTCAGTACTGCACAAAAAGCAGTATGGTTTAAATTGTCAGGAGCATTTCAGAGGACTGAAGTGCATGAGTATCAGCTTAACTACAAGTGCTTTTGGCCAGGTACAGGAATGAAATGTTGATAATTGTTTTAGCTTTAATTTCTCTTCAGTAACTTCCGTGAATGTTGTCAAAACCATGAAGAGCTATCTTAAGTTCTTTAGTCTTGAAAATTAAGGGTTAGTTTAGCTGTAACTTGTATTTCCCAGCAAACTAAAACTCTACAGAGTTACCTTCTTCCTATTTACACCTTTTGTTTCCAACTGAAACTATTTACTTTGCTCCTTTTACTACTAAAAGATCTGATAAAAATTCTTCCAGATTTTAGAAAAAGAGTTCCTGCTTTTAGAATGCAGCAAAACTGTTCCCTCCAGCTGGTGGGGAAGCACAGTGTGTAGCTTTTGAAGCCTGGGAAACCAGTCACCTTAGCAGGGCAGCAGGGAGCATGCCTGGGGGCAGACCACAGGTGGTCACCGGTGTGCTCTCCACACAGCTGGGGCTCTGGGGCCGACCTCTGGGGGTCTGAAAGTGACAACCGCTTTGAGAAGCCACGCATCGATGACGGCCTGCTGGAAGTGGTTGGTGTGACTGGCGTCGTTCACATGGTGAGTTGGCATCCCAGCAAGCACGGAAGAAACGTGCATTTTATGGGACAGGCTTGTTTCCGTGACAAACAGTGCATTGCAAGTGCAGTTACGCCTCTTTGTTAAGTTTGGGTAAGAAGAAGTAATAGGAACTGAAAACTTGTTAAAAATCCTTGGGGAAATGCTTCATGACTTAGCTAGACTTTGAACCAAGTAGAGAAACATACATATGTGAATATATGTATATAGATATATAAAATGCAATATATATGTATATATAAAATACAAATATATATATATTATGTAATGCACTAGCTTTCTCATAACAGGTATCGTGTCCAAATGGAATGGTTCAGATGAAAACAAGATTTTATTCTAATATTACAAAAACACGCACCCTTCACCTAGTGTATTTGCAAAAGTCTTGTTATACCTCATCACAGTCACAGTGGAGATTCCATCAAGACAGGTTGCTTTATGATTATCTGCCACAGGCTTTCCAACACATGTCACTGAGAATTTGATACTTGCTGCTCTTGATTTGATTGCTACATCAAGTAGGTGGTATGCTGTTCTGCAAGGAACAGTATGACTCAACTTAGGCAATTATTTTTTTAATTCTTTCGTGTATATTACATATTTTTACAATGGTTTGCTATTAGTAACACACTCCTGTGGGATGGTAGGTTATTTTTGTCTTCATATCTTACCACTATTTAAAGAAATCTGCTTCTGAAAAAGTATATGTAGTCAGGTAACTAGAGATAACTAATCCATAAAACTGCCAGAAATGGAAATGTGGGTGCTTAAATTTTGTGGAGCTCAATTTTTGGTGTTGGTCAACTTTATTGTAATTTAGATCTTCTAAAATACACTAAAGAGTTGTTTTGGTAGAGATCCTTAAATCTTCTGTGAAAGTAGAAGCAGCTTTGGAGTATAAATGTTAACAAACCTGTGCTTTAGATTTGTGATATTAAGGTTTTTACTCCCACATTTGAAGTTGAGTTTGGAAGAACTCTCTCTGATTAATAAACTGCTTTTAGACTTTGGAATTTCACATGTGCTGAAGTCTGTGTGTATAATTAGGTGTTTTGTAGAAGTATTTACTGTGTTTCAGAGGGGGAAGCCAAAGCAAACAAGACCTTTGTGAGTGCATGCTGCTTGGCCAACCTTTGCATACAAACCTTTGCTTTGGAAATTGTTTTGCCTCCTGCAGCCTGCAGGGGAGTCCTCCTTCCTTGAGTAGCTGAAATAATGTTGGGGTAGTAAAGGCATCCTAGTTTTGCCTAAGCAGTTTTTTAGCTGAAACTTAAAATGTCAGGTGAGAATAAAATAATATCCACCCAATTTTAACTGCAGCTAGTAATTGTACTTCTTGTTAGTTGGGGTGATTGATATCCTGGCTTTTATTCCCTAACAGGGTCAAGTCCAAGGTGGTTTTCGATCAGGAATCCGCATAGCTCAAGGCTCGTATTTCCGTGTAACACTCCTAAAGCCAATTCCAGTTCAAGTTGATGGAGAGCCCTGGATTCAGGCCCCTGGCCAGATTATAATTTCTGCTGCAGGACCAAAGGTACTGGGTGTAGGTTTCTCTTAGCAATTTGACTTTGTTCGTGCACTGGATGTTACCGTATTATCTTTCTTATCTGTGTTCTCATGCTTAACCCTAAAGGAGCTGCTTAGCACTGTGTGGTAACTGACACAGCAATTTCTAAAGAGGACAGTTTGAGGGCTCTCTCCAGTGGCTCAGATGAGGCTCATGTTTAAAAAAATAGTCCCTGAGGTTTGGCCTAGTGATCCAATTTTTCCTCTGTATTGAGATCTGCAGGCAGTGTTGCTTTTCTTGAAGCAGGGCAGTGGTAGTAGTGCAGTGTGCGAGGTAGGAATCAGTCTACTGGAGAAGGGAAGGTCTGTCACACAGTAGTAGCAAAGAAGGAAAATTAATAAAAGAGGAGCAAGGCCTGTGAAAAAGACTTGGGTAATCAGTGTCTGGTTTTTCTTGATTATCTCAATGTGTACATAAAACACAGCATCAGCTCCCTAAGAATTTAACTTCTCTATTGACTTTGAAATTGTGAAATAAACATTTTGCAGTAGGTGACTGCAGTATACACCAGTCTGCACATTTGCCTGCTACCTGAGGGATGCCTTTTCAACTCACAGACATATGCTGCTGTAGGCAAGCTGAAAGGATATGTAGCTGTACTGGGAGGGGTACCAGAACAATTGCCCTTGCTGAGGAGAAGTGAAAGAGAGGGTCATACCTCAAAGTTTCAGAATATGTTAAAACTTTGTTCTTTTCATGAGTAGAAGTGGAAGGGTAAAGGAAAGACAGAGAGAGAGAGCAAACCTAATTTGTCCTTCAGTGAGAAACATTTCTTCTTCTTCTACCAGGTTACTGACTAGTTATCTCTATGTATGTGTGTACAGGAATATATATGCACACACATACATATACATAACGTGCATATGTTTATGTAAAAAAAGCAGTAAGTCCTATAGCTTTACAAGGATAGGTGCACCAGATAGTTGTGTATTTATATATTTTTCTGTTGCAGTTCAGCTTTTTACTTGGTTATTAGTTTGTTGCCTTAGATCAGCTAATTGATGACTACAGATATTTTAATACTCACCTTCTTTTAAATTTTTCAATTTTAGGTCCATATGTTGAAAAAATCCAAGCAGAAGCAGAAAAAAACTGGAAGCCTGAAAGAGATGAAAGTGGATAGCACGTCAGTCTCTGAAGGAGGACGCAAAGGGGAGACCTGTGTTCATACCTATGGTAGATACCACCCCGGTCCAGTAAAACCGAGTGCAGACAAGTCGTGAAGAGTGTTGCCTATGAGTGTGCCTTTCATTACATTTTGATAGTACTGGGTTCTTCTTTGTATTTCAAAGATAGTACCTCATTGTCACAAATAACTATTATGTACCACTTGTCTCATCTGAAATGTTTACTTGGGGTTGCTTTTCTGTAAGCTGTTTCCCAGCCAAACAGAGATTCCAAGATGCTGAGATTTCTGCATTTGCCTTCACAAAAAATCCTTCCCTCCTCCCAGTTCATTCTTAAAGAAAATCATTCCATAGATAATTTTTTTAATTGTTCTATAACTGAAAATGTGTTCCTTTAATGCTCACAATAGCATCCTAACCAAAAAAAGGCAAAACCATGAGCTGCTGAGAGCTCCTTAGATCATCCAAATAGCACAGCTGAAACAGTACAAGTGTAAAGAGAAAAACACAAAACACAGGAGAGATTATTTCCGTAAAAGGATCCCAGCACTGGAAAGAGAGAAAGTACTAGAACAGTTGAGTCAAAATATTTCAGAGCATTTACTTCAACAGTATTTGGACAGCACGAATGAAGGGGAAACAGCCTGTAGAGCAATTTTTCAACTGTAGCTTAGTTTCTCATTATTCAGCCAAAGCCGGTTTTAAAAGGCATTTGAATTTCATGAGCCACTTCATGAACTCTCAGAATAAAAAAGGAACAAGAATACCCAAGGCAATAGTATGTTATACCAATTCTTTTTTATCACTGAAACCATTAACTTTGACACCAGACTCTTTTGTCTTGACTTTACTTTTGTTGTTTCATTTTAATGAATCTTGTTGTTTCATTTTAGTGAATTTGTTATATAACAGCAAGCTCAATAATCATCATTAATAAGGTTAAAAGAAGTACCACTTAGTGTTCAATTAAGTAAATTAGCACAGTCATGTGTTAGAGCTGAACTGATATACAGCATAGCTTTACTGAGGAGCCTTAGCATCTAGGCTTCAAATAACTGGGAATGCAAGACTCGTCATGAAAATTCACTTACCTCATTAGGCTTCTTTGTGGATATTACTAGGTGTGGGCCCAGGGACACAATGACTGTCTTTTCTCACTTGGATGAGTGTGTGCTCTTCAGAGGCTGTTTCTTCATCAGTTCCTGTGAGGCCACGTCTCTGTGTTTGCCCATCTGCTGAAGCTGTGGTGATCCAGTACTTTTACAGCTTTGTGCTGGAGACTGGCGCTGGAGCAGCCGCACGCCTGCCATCCACCATCCAGATGTGCTATCCATCTATAGGCTATCGTCATCTTGTTCTTCACTCACATCTCTGCTGTCTCATCTCACTGTGGTTCCCCAGGAACTGAACCTTTCCCTTTTGGTCAACATCATACACAAAGGGCTCTGTGAGCCACTTGTGGGCGGGGGAGGGGGCCTGCAAGATTTTGCCACTTCCATGCATCTGCTGCTTGGAGCTGCTTAAGCCATGTTGGCTAGAGCCTGCTTAGCCACATGGTAGGCTTACTCGTTCTCTGTTGCACAGTAACAACTTGAGCGTAAGCCTTAGGAGCATTCCTGTTGCCAGTGTGTCTAGAAAAACATCTCTAGCTGCTTTGGGGGACTTAAGTATAACACTGAAATATGCAAAAGCTGTTTTGTGATGGAGCCAGTTACATGCTGAGGCAGTTATTTCTGGGTCTCATTGATGAGTCTGTATTCCTAGCACTGTGACAGCTTCAGCAACAGCTGACCATTACATGTACTTTCTACTTTCTGGTCATGGTACAACGAGGGTATGAATTGTCATCTATAGCAACAGAATGGTGCAGCTAAAGCTATAAAGAAAGACAAAACAGCTACGGAAAAATGGCAGATGCCTGCAGCTTCTCCTTTCAATCTAGTGATTCCTGCTCAGTTTTCTGGTAGAGACGCAGTTGGAGGAATGATTTCTGTTTTCAGTGAAACCTTTTCTTAATTGTTTAAATTCTTAATTTAAATTTGGGGATGTTCTTCAGGTCCCACAGTGTGGACTATAACTTCACTTTCATTCAAATGAAAACTGGACTCATGCTATGAAGGAAATAGTTTGGATAGTACAGAGCTAAAAGCCTTGTCCAGATCATTAAACACAGGGTTGTCTTCTTTAGAACCTGGGCATGAGGGGTCAGCTGGACCTCTTCTGGCATCCTGGTACCAGCATTACAAGTAGGGAGGATCAAGTATGGTATTTCAGGATGTGCGCACTCTGAATGAAGCTCACAAATTAGAGAGGAAATCTGGAACAGGCTGCTGCTTCATAATTGTCCAGAAAGAGAGAGAAACTGCTTTGTATCTTTGGGACCACAGAAAGAATGCATGGTCTACTTTCCAGTTGCTGACTCAGTAATGGAAGCTGGGCTTATTGTTACAGAAAACATGCATATGTTTTAAGATTTCTGGTACTGACTGTCTGCAGCAGCCCAAATAAGTAAGGCTGTCTTACTATATTTCCAGGCATATATAATTCTGCATCGTGTAGCTGACAGTGTTTCAAGTTCTTGGCTTGTTAAGGACCTGTCTGTCTCTCCTATTGCTCTGTATCTGTTGTCTGAAATAACATGAAACTCACAGGTCACAATATTTTAATCAGAGGGCCCATTGCTTTGGCATATTCTTTGTGGAGATTTCCCATCCATGGAACTCTGTAAAAGCCTGTTTTGGGATAGCATCATGGTAGCAAGGTGACTCTGAAGTATGAGTGTAATTTCTTCCTAGCTTCCAGAGGGCATCCTGGTAGAGGACAAGAAGGCTTTGAGTTTTGTTCCCTTTTTTTTTTCCCTGGAAACCAAGTGCCATGTATTTGAGCAGATGAGTGCCACACTGGAATGAAAACATAGCTTAAGAAAAACACTTAGTATATAAGGCTCTGTGCATCAAAAGATGAGGCTTAATGTGTTTTGATGACAAAACCAGATTCATTTGAGGTAGGAAACCCCCTGTAAAGCTTTTAAAAGGAGAAACTCACTCATTAACCCCTCTATTAAGATGTTCTAGTTTCAGGTTCTTTAAAGGCCATTTTATCAAGACTAGATGTATGTGTGTGTGTGTATATGTTTTTTCTCACATTTTCATTGCATATGGTGTCTGAGAAGGCCTAGTATTTTCTTCCATGGTATGCAAGGCCTGCATGAAGGGAGGGGGTAACTCTTTGCAGTTAATATGAAACATTTAGACTTAGCCTTTCCACTGAACATAACAATGCAGTATCATTTCTGTGACAGTGGGTAGATAGATTATTCTCCATACTGATTGTTTGAGTAGTATTGTGTGAGAGCCTAGTGGTCACATGGCCAAGTACTTCAAATAATGCAGCAACAAAAGTACTGGGGAAGAGGCTCAGTTCTGTCAAGATAGGTGTTAAGTAACATCAGGGACACAGGACCAGGAGCAGTAACTGTGGACAGTGAGAAGATGCAGGCTCTTTGCTATCCTGAGCACACTCCTTCATCCTCTCTCCCTTGCCTTTTTACCTTGCCTATAAACCATGGCAGGCACAAACAGCACAACTAGCATCTCTCCTGCTGATGTACACTCTCCTGACCTTTCACTAGTGTCCTACTTAGGCATTGGCAGCACTGGGGAGAGAAAGGTCCTGAAAACCCTGGTTCCTTTCAAATACCACAGTGTTCAGATTATTGCAGGTGGTCAGTTGGTTAAATCTATTTTGATGGATAAACACGTTACCTCTGCCTTGAATTAGTAGAACTAAAATTCAAAAGCTCATCCCTGAGATACGGGTGCTACTTCAGAAAATTTGCTGCTTTTTTCCCCATGGCTTTTACCCTTGATTTGTACAGTTTACATTCCTGGTGTTTTCACTGCATTGAGTTTTAGATGAAAGCATTATTTTGCCAAAAATCTTTTGTTTATATATGTGTACATACATGTGTGTACATACATGTGCACACACCCTTTAAGAATACGCCTTATTGTATTTCCTTCCATAGTGCCTAATTATACAGCTTTTGCCCTGTTACAGCATTCTGATAGCACTCACTTCTGGATCTTCCTTTCACCGGTTTTGGACATGAGGCAGGACTTGTACTTTCCAACAAGATATGATGGCAATATAGTGAAAGCACAACTGCATTTAGAGTACAGTTTCTGCATGTATGCAGTTTGAGCTCTGCTTGCTCTTTCTAGATTTTAGTCAAGTATCTGTGTGTCTAAAACCAGTGGCAATGGCTATTGTAGCATTTTAAAAAACTAGGAAGAAACTGTCACTGCAAGACTTACCTAAGGAACAAAACTAAATGAACTGTTATAGACAATTGTTGTTAATCTTCACAGTTACCCTCTTACAAATATTGTACTGATTTAATGTCTTTAGAGCAAATATTGTACTTGATCTGAATGTCAGCTGTTTCTAATTGCTCAGTATTTATGCGTGCATGTGATTCTGTAGCAGTCTGTTGGCATATAAGCGTCATTATCAAATTAAACCTCTTTTTGTGGGAGGAGAAGGTAAGAGGAGCTGTTGTGACACTTAGAAAGGGCTTACGTTGAAGACACAACAGATTTGGTTGCATATGTATTTAATAATGTGCCATCTGTAGGTATGCTCTGTCTTGCACGGTCTCCAATCCATATTCCAGCACCAGTACAGGGGGCTCATTGGAGTTGTGCACTGGCAGTAGATACTTTTTCAGTCTGCACCCCATAAGTCTTCCTTACCACCTTCAAAGTGACTGTACATCTTCCTATTTCTGCCAGGCTGCCCTCCTGCCCTTTGGGCCTAACTCTGTACCAAAACTGGTAATGAAGGTATGAGCATGTGCTGGTGAATGTGTGTGCAGAGTGGGGGAATGGAGTTCCTGCTCTGAATGCTGCTCTGTCAGTTTGGCTTAGACTATTCTTTAATTTCTACTTCAGCTTCTACTTTAGCCATCTAACAGCTCTGCAGCAAAGATTTAGCAACTACTGAATTGCCTTGGATTCACCGGTGACAACGTTGCCTCATTTTCAGGCTTTGATCTTATATACGTCAGAATATGTATAACTGCATTATACTTTTTGCACTTAACAGAAAATGCAGGTTAGACAGGCTTAGGGTGTGGCAAAATTGCAATGTTTGTACTTTTTTTGTAAATATGGGGATGATTCTACAGATACAAAGATGCACTTTCAGATAACAATGAGAACAAGTTTGTAGAATACAGTTGTTTAGGAGTTTCTCTGGCTGCAGTGTTCCTGATCCCCATCTATGTCTAACACTGTGTTCTCCTTGAAAGCCTGCTTGGGGATAGAGATGGCTTCTCACATTGCAGAATGTATTTATAGCTGACTGACTGAACGTTTGTGTATGTTTTTGAGCAAATTTGCTGCTATTCTAAGTTTTAGGTTTTACTAGACTGCTTCTATAATGCATAAAATAATGTTCAAGTTTTATTTATAATGTCAACACTTACTGATTTGACACTTAGTTTCAGGAGACATCCAGCCCAAAGCCTTCATTCCTTTTGCTGTTTAATAGTTTTGTTTTATTGTGGTTTCTTTTTAGCAGTGTAGGCATTGTATGTGTGGAGTGCAGTGAAATGAATACAAATTACTAACCTTAGCCTGCAGTTAGAGTGGCGGTTTCAATGTTTACAGGACAGAGACTATTGATTGTAAACCCATACACGTCCACTGAAACAGTGCACTCTTCATGTGTTTTGGAAGCACTGTTTCTGCTTACCATGGTAATTAAGGGAATTGTTGCCTTCTGGTTTTAGAGTCCTGGTTATGTTGCTTTGGAGAGATTTCAGTGTGGGTTATGGCTTCTCTGCCATGAACTCACAGGGCAGAATTTGTACTGACACAAGTGTGTTATATTGAACATGTTTTCTGAAAGAGTGACTTTATTTTTTATGAAGATAATTTATGAGAAGGTTTTATAGCAGATCAGTGCTGAAAAAGTTGAATCTTGAAATAAATGTTTGTAGATATTAAAGATCTATCCCAAAGCAAAGTATTTTTTAATAGGGCAGTATTACTGGTGTAGTTAACCCTCTGAGCTCTCCTGGTAGCATACCCATTTAGCATGTCACTCTGCACTGGTCAAGTGTGTTACTTAGGGGACAACCTGATTTCAGAAGATATTACTTAATTTATATTGTGCATATCCCCTATTAACCTCTGGCAGCAACTCCCCATATAAACATCAGCCACACAAGACAGAGCTTCTCCCCATATAGATCACTGCAGGTTGAAGAGCAGAGAGGCTGCCCTTGTGCTTGACTGCAGAGAGGCTGTGAGTCTGGTGACTGGCACTTGCAGTCCTCTCTCTCACCATTATAGAGTGTGCCACACAAGTTCTTTTTCTTTCTGAAGGCAGGCAGGCACAAATTCAAGAGTGCCTGAGTCAAACTGCTAATATCTTGTCTCACCATGGCATCCATTTCTTAGTGCTGTTTATCTTGCCAAATTGGGTAGCAAGAGGTGCTTGAAGTATTACTGAGTATTTATTGTGTAATTTTTGGGTGCTTATAAAGCCTTCACTGCTATTTTAAAGCAAAATTTGGGGATCTGTAGCATAGCAATAGCTGTATAACTCGCATTCCAAACATGCCCAAAGTTATCCTTGTAATAGTTTAGTTATCAATGGTGTAGCTAGCAGCAATCAGTATCTTGAAGCTACAAGTTCTAAATATTGGAAGACAACATCTCTGCTTTGAATGCAAAGCATTAGAGTTTGTAATTCACTATAGATTTCAGCATCTTTCCTACTTAAAAATGACTGATGACATCTTAATTCTTCTCAAACTATAACTTAACCATTGCTTAAATAACTGTTTTTCACCTCTGGTTATTTAAATAATTCAATTTACACAGTTGTATGAATGCTGTTTTATTATCAAGATACTCTTAAGGTGTCTCATAGCATTTCTTGTGAATGTTCTAATACATCAGTAATAAATAATCCTGACCCAATAAACTAATGTAAGCTGACAAGTTATTGTCTAGTGCTTATTCTTTGTGCATCTGTCTAATTCTCAGAGAAAAAAGCAGCCTAAGTATAAGCATTAAAGTGATTGAAAACAGTTTCCACACTCTGTGCCTCAAACCAGTAATGTGTTATCACACATTTACTTGTGGATTGGTCTCAAAAACTAGCTTTTAATGATGTAACTTGTTTCTCAATGTCTGCCTTGCAAATGAGACGTCACTATATTGTGGTAACTTGTCTACAAAAAACATACCTAGTGTACTAATAGATTTTTTAAAAAGTAATTTATAAAATATGGACTTTTATATTTAAACATCTGTTCATCCTTGGGTTCTGTTTTTAGAAAATTCTATGTATATTTTGCAATACGTGTTTTGTGTTTGACTGTACATTTTGCACCAATATGAAAAATTGTATTCTAAGTATTATTTACAAGTTCCAGAGATCTGTAACTAGAATTTGCTGTGAACAAATACAACATCTCTTCTACCCTGGATGCTTGTGGAGTAGTTATGCTTTAAAAATAGCGGAATATACTTCTGCAGAAACAAACATACTTTATCTCAGCTGGGCACTGCTTTTACAGGAATTCTGTAGCCTTGCTGTTTGAGATTGGGTCATGCCCTGTGGAAGGATGGCTGTCTTCTAACAGTGTGATTTCAAACGTCTTCATTTGTGAGACAACATCTAAATTTGATCCCTGCAACATTCAAGAACCTTTAGAACTCTTATTGTTCTGGTTAGCACTGTAATTGGTAAAAGTCTTTCTGTGATAGCACCACAGTTTAATGCACACAGACTTCCTTTAATGATGATGCAGATTTTCCAAGGTTTTTTTGTACAATTCATTGTCCTGTTTGCCCTTATCTAGAAAGACATGACCTGGTTTTCAGGCTGTGGGTAACAGGCCCACACATAGGCTTGTGCTTGGCTCAGGTGAACAGCGGTGGACCTGGCCTGCATAACTCTAGGGCCAGACCTCATGGAGCTTGGATTGGAGGGACTCAGCTGGGACAAGTGGAAGGGCTGTCCAGTGAGCCAGGCCCAGGTGGAAACTCTGCCCCACTGTGGGTGGACAGTTCACCCCTCCTTGGAGGTTAGGGCCTGCCTTTCATGGCTGGGGATGGGGGAGAGGCACTCAGCTGAACACTTCCACTGGGGGTGTCCCTGCTGCCTCTGGCAATGAGCAGTTGGTTCTCCCTGCTCTGTTCAACAACTGACTGCAGAACTAAGGAGGTAGACCCAAACAGTTCTGAGAAAAGAGGGGAAGCAAGCAAAACACTGACCTTCATATAGAGAAAAGACAAACCACAAAACATCCAAACCTGAAATTATTTTTACCCCTGCCCTCCTCTGGGCTGAGAGAACTGTAAGAAGAACAGACAGCTACCAGCAGTCCCTCCCTGCCCATACAGGGTTGTGCCCTGCAATCTGGCTACACCGCTTTCTCATCAAGAGGAACTGGTGTCTGAGAATGGGAAGGATGGGTTGGACCATGATAAATCCCAGTGTAACTTCAGTGTGGATTTAGCCACCAATTAGACAATACTCTTTGAAGCACAGCTAAAAAAAAAAAAATCCTTTTAGGTAAATAATGAAGTCACAAGGAAATTAAATTTAAGGGCTAATGGAATCATTTTGGACATCAAATTGATAATCAGATGACAGCTTTGGGTCCTAAAACAGATGCTTTCTTGTTGTGAACAACTGTAGCACCTCTGATCTCTCCTGCCAGGTCTGAATAACCAAATGCTGGAAGATGCAGTGGTGGTGGCATCGGCAATCAGCATCTTGAAAACAAATCCATGCAGACAGAGCAGTGCCTGTGCAGGTGCCCACCTCCAGGCAAGCAGCCTTGATATGAATAATACAAATGGGTCAAACTTTGCCTCCTCTTCAACTAATAAGGCTCAACATTCACTCTTGAATGAATCTCTGTCCCTCACAATTTGCCCAGACTTCTCTTGTAGCTGGCACCATACTATATTGGTCTATCCAGGACCTGGCTTTCAGGTTCTGGAAACCAAGAAATCCAGCCTAAGAGTCTACTAGGGAATCACAGAAAGAGAGAGGGATGGGAAAATTAAGAGCAACACAATGGTTATAGACAGGTTAGAGAGGTAGAACAGCCAGCACAGATGAGGCACAGAGTCTGCAGAGATAAGTGCTCTGACTGGAAGCCTGGTGACTTAATGCAGGGCCCTTGTAATCGGGGGCAGAGACGGGGGCAGGCATCAGAAAACACACAGTGAAATTGCAGACAGACAACACCTCACTCCACACCAGAAAATGAGGAAGGGACAACCTCTGTCAATTTCAGGCCTTCTCTCAGCCAACCTGTGCTGTTAATCAGTGATTATTTACCACAATTAGCCACTCTAACAGACAAGCACTGGCACCTCTGCTCGACCAGTGCCCTCAAGTCTGTGCCAGATAACTAGGAGGCTGCTGTCAGTCCAGGATTTCTGGGGATGTTACTCACAACACCACTCATTTGCACACTGTTTTGAGGTCAGTACCTCCTGGCTCAAAGAAGCTTTCCCTGCTGCAATTTCCAAAGCACAAGCAGATCAGAAGGCACAAAACATTTCCAGCAGCAAGGACATGTCGATCTTGCCAACCCCGCTTCAAACTGCCGAAGTGGAAACAAATTAATCCAGTCACATGGTCACTACACAGCCTTGCATTGAAGGTCCTGCTCCCATATTTTTCTTGTCACACAGGAATGGCTTGGTGTCCTCTGATGAAGCAGCCTCTCCAGCAAAACATGGAGCAGAGCTGATAGCAAGTCTTCTACGACTGACTCTCAATCTCATAAGCCACAGTCCCCACAGGCAACCCCCAACATCTCCAGTCCAGAAAAATCTCAAGGAGGCTGAGATCGCCATCTGACAGTGTCTCAGCATGGCTGCAACAAAGGTGTGAAAATTATACTCATCTAGGACATGCCAGAATTAAAGACACTCCATCAGAACTGCTACACAAAAGCAGACTGCTTCTGTTGCCTGGGTGGCACATTTTTTTCTGCACTCTCCCGCTTTCAGCTTCCCAGTCTTTGGCACCTACCGGCACCTCCCTAACTCCTCATCAACCATTCCTGCCACAGGACTTTGTCGTCACTCCTGTATTACTGCAGTCTACAATGGCTTGTCATATTTGTTCTCCTCTAGAAACGTTTAACACCTTTTTTAGGCTTCTTTGGGTTGCAAGTGAACATTTTTAGGATTTTTTCAGTCTTTTAAAGTTTGTAACTGTGGTGTGTCAATAGTTCGGGTCATAAACTAACCTGCATCCTGCTAAAACCTGTCCAAGATCTCAGTTTTATCTGCCTGTTAGAGGGAGCTGCTTGAGTTTCTCTTAATTATAAATATCCTTCTAAAACTTGTCTGACAAGTTTTATAAGTGTTGGCACAAAAATGAAGCAGTGTCAAGTACCATTCTACTACAACAGGGACTTTAGTTCTGGCAATTCCTTTTTAACACAAACACGGACATTTGCTGCTGGGCACGGACCACTTCATGATGTTCCTGGCTAGTTAACTCACTGTTAGACTGGAGGTTGCTGCCCTCTTGCTTTCTGACTGAGGATAGCAGAACCTGCCCCTGACTTCGGAAAGACTTTCAGGAACTGCCCAGACACTGGATGTGCAATTGCTGTGGTTTAAAAATTATTTTAAAAGAAACAATGCGCTGTAGTTATGCAAAAATGTTTATGCTTTAACTATTTGGTTCATGGATTTTAAAAGCTTGTTCCATCTTTCTTTAAGTAATCCTCCTCTGAAATTATAATCAGTTTGGGGAAGAAAACTGATGGCAGTATGGTGCGGTTCTGAGGGCACAGGTTTCTAAGACTGCTCTCCCAGGGTTGCTGAGGACTGTATTGCCAGCAGGTCTTGCTGGATCTCGCAGGCCAGTGGGATGGTCCAGCCCATGGAGCAGAAGGCAGCATTGCTGGGAGGCGTGGCAGAAAGGTGTGGGGTGCTGCTCTGCAGGCGCCATTCCCCCCCCCCAAAGAGGGGGTATGTGCTGGGGGAGCATTGGCAAGCTGTGCCCTGGGGGTGGCCCACCACAGGAAGGGTGCAAGGGACCCAGGCCCCTGTGGAGGGAAAGTTGGCAGGGGGAGTTTAGTTCTCTGAAATTTGCCTGCAAAGCGACACAGGGCAGCCCAAGGCATGGCCCAGCAGCCAGCCTCAGTGGTACTTGGCTTGAGGTGAGTTGGGGTGTGCTGGTTTCTACTGGGATAGAATGAATTTTTTTCAGAGTGGCTAGAATGGGGCTGTGTTTTGGATTTGTGCTGCACACAGGGTTGATAATATAGAGATGTTTTAGTTATTCTTGAGCAGCGCTTACACAGAGTCAAGGACTTTCCTGTTTTTTGTATTACCATTTGACAAAATGCTCTGTATTTAAATCCGGGTGCAAGAAGGAGGAAGAAAGAGACGTTTGGAGTGATGGCATTTGTGTCCCTAAGTCACCGTGAGGAGGGAGAGGGCCCCTGGAGATGGCTGAAGAGCTGCCTGCCCAGGGGAAGTGGTGAATGAATTCTTTGGGGGATTTTGCTTATGTACTTTTAATATTTGCTTTTGTTTTCCATATTTTACTGTCTTTATGTCAAACCAAGAGTCTTCTAGGTTTTGCTCTTCCAGTTCTCTCCCCAGTCCCACTGGTGGGGCAGTGAGTGAGTGGCTGTGTGTGGCACTTGGTGGCCAGATAGGGTTAAACCAAGACATGGAGGAACAATGTTTCACACAGCCATGACATTTGACATCATGGGGGCCAAGCCACAGCATTCAGCAGTGGAGAACAAAGCCGAGCACTGCTCCAGGGCCAGCTCCAGGGGTGCTGAGAGCTGGGCAGCCTTGATGGCAAAGTTCTGCCTGCCCTGAGGAAACAGTGTGAAAACTGTCGTGTCAAGTAAGAGTCTGAAATTCATGGCCCAGTATGGCTAAAGGCCAGGCCCCACAGTACTCTGCACAGGGGCACAGTGATGTACTGTGGTGGCACAACCCCAGACAGACACCAGGTGTCTTGTTTGGGATGCAGGTGGGGAGCAAAGCCCTCAAGAGCCCAAGAGCCAGGCCCTGCATGCATGAGCACAGAGAATTTGGTGGGGCAGAGTCTGCATGGATTGAAGACCAGGTCCCAGAGTGGATGGCTTAACGGGGACCTGAGGTGGAAGGAACTGCAGAACAAATCTCTCCTATGCAACTAGATGGCTTAGTCCTTCTGTCCTCTATACAATAGTATCTTAACAAAACAGAGCACAGAGTTTTCTCCACTGCACCTCCACCCTGCTTTCTCAGGACCACAACATGGGTCCACTCAGTCCACTCTCATGGCATTCAGAGCTGTGGTGCACACAGAGAGGCCCATCTCGAGTCTCCCTGCTCCTGCTGGGTCACTGGCCTCACTCCCTCACCTGCTGCACTCAGCACATCTTTCTTACCTCCAAATTTCCACTGCTCACACAGCTGCTGCCAGTTCCTCTGGCTTC